ACGAGGGAGGGGAGGAGCTTCTTTTGACTCCGCCCCGGCGAGTTTCCCACTCTACTCTTACATTTCCGACCTCCCCGGCGGCGGCGAGTTCCCCAGCGTAGCTCCGATTTTTCCCTACCGCTCCGCAGTGAAGGGTTTTTATTTTATTTAAATGGGGGATCGGTGGCCGGCTGGGCTAGCGCACACCAGCTCGGAGCACGTCGAGCGAAAGGTCCATTGCAGAACCCAGGATGCTGGGTTCAATCCCCACTCCTGCTTGTTTCCATGTTGATGAGCATCGTACCGGCGTGCAGTCGTGTAAAGGGCCGCCCACACTAGCGAGAAAACGCGCGTGGCACGCCGATCGCGGCAAGTAACAAAATGTCGCCGAAGCACAGTCAGCGCCACGAGCGCGTGCAGAGACACGCCCTTTATCTTCCCGCTTAACCGATTTATCGGCGCGCCGGGCGCGTTTTCTCGCTAGTGTGGGTTGCCCTTAACACTACTGCGGGATGGACGTTAAAGACCCCAGGCTAGTGGTTGTACGGCACTGCATCGCTAAATTTCTCATCTACAGCTGGGAAAATCTTCCGCGTTGAGGCAGACCAAGTTTTAGGCAGTATCAACATACATACAGCCCAATTTGTTTTTATTTAAATCGTAAATGACAAATAAGAATAGGTAACAGCAGGGATGCTAATTATACAAACATTGCTTGGATGTGGGCTAGTTGACTAGACATTTTGATGGTTTGCTGTTCCACGTAGATGCAAGAAAAACGCTCTTGATAAAGATATAAACTAAAGCAGAGTATAGACGAAAAACAACATACAGGAATGGCGCAGACTAACAACTGTGTAATTTCTTTCTCATCTTTCTCCCCCCACACCGCCACACAGCCACAATATTTTTTTTTTTCAAAATAGGGTGCACGTGGAGCGAAAGCTCGCGCTGCAGAACCCAGGATCGTGGATTCACCCCCACCCCTGCCCTTTTCGATGTTGATGAGCATCGTACCGGCATGCGGTCGTGTATCACTAATACGTGGTGCACGTTAAAGACCCTAGGCTAGCAGTCATACTGCACTGGCTAAATTGCTTATCTACAGTAGGTGACAATGTCGCAATGTTCTGGCATGTTCTCCTGCCGTATAAACAACTAACGGCCAATTTGTTTGTCAAAATACGGTGTGGAAGAAGAAAGATGAGAAAGAAATTACACTGTTGTTAGTCTGCGCCATTCATGTATTGCTTTTCTTCTATCATCTGTTTTAGTTTGAATTTTATCAAGTGCGTTTATCTTGCATCTACGCAGCGCAGCAACCCATAAAAATAATTGTAAAAGCCTGTAGGTAATGGTAAATTGCGTTCGTGGTTGCAGATTGCCGTAAAAACACATTTGTTTCTAGGATTCACTTTGTAGAATTTGTATGTGGGATTCACGACGGGGACGACGGTCTATTCAACGCTCCATCGCCTCAAGCCCGGTTCGCCACGCAGTTCATCGCACAGCCACCTTAGCACGTCTTTCGAGAGGCGATAGTGTTGTTGAAAATGAACGTCGTCCATGTCCAACACATTGGCGTGGTTTAAATACCTATGCCGACGGCAAAACACGAACGAAAACGCTGCCATTTTGGACGCTTCTCCCTGATCTCGCGCCCAACTCGCCCAAACTCGCCTAGGTCGGAGCCGGCAAGCTTTTCCCAACCGCGGCGGCTTCTGCCACGTCAGAATGACGTCACCGCATCTCGCCGCGAGTTCCGCAACTCTCCGACCGCCTCAAACCCTCCGTTTAACGTCACGATCTAGGGAGTGTCGGCGCGTGTCGTCATGCACGGCGCCGACCAATCGCGGCGGTCGGCGAGTTTGGCGGAGAACTCGCCTCGATCTCGCCGCGCCGAGCTTAGCCCCCCTGGAGCCGATTATATGCCGCCAATGTTGATCATAGCCATGCGCTGGGGTTGGCAGGGCACAGGACACGCGCTGCGTTCCAGACATTGTTATGGTTCGGCTGTTTTCTTCATTGCAGCGATTGGACACAGTACACTACCCGAATGCTTCTCGAGCTATAGATTATCACGAGCCCAAATCGAGTGCCTACGCAATGCTCGGGTCCAATCTATAAGCCGCATTCAAATATCGTCACTGGGCGGTACTGCTACCGGCCATCTACGTCATCAGGTTTTGTGAAGGAGAAATTGAATAAAAAGGCTGGGTTTCGTCTTCAAAATTAGAGCCCAACAAAAGAGTTTCTTGGTCAGTGGCGTTGTGTGCGAGTATCCTTGAGTCCCAGTAGTGCCAGTAAGCTCGTGTAAAGTGAAAAACATTCCAATTGAATATCGTTGCACCGCCCCTTTAAGAAGCCTAGATAATTGAAACGATGAAACAAAATGATCGGCCCAGTACAAATTTTCTTTTGTTTACCTGCACAGAAACTCTGGTATGCGAAAAGTCCCCCCCTCGCCGAAAGAAAGATAAAGTGAATTAGCATTCTATTCGTATTGGTAGGCAACGCCATAAATTTAAGAAAGGTCACATATTTTAAAATTCATGCTCAGTATTTGGTCGTGACGGGATGTTGTGAATTAAGCTTGGCAAATCTAAACAGGAACGGTGGGCAAAAGGAACCCATGATGCTTTGCGCGACACTACGCCACTAGAATGTCTTCGATTTTGCGAGAGGTCTATTGCCGCAGCGTCCACTAGAAGACACACGCGTTTGAAAAGGGTGTATCGAAAGGCTGTCATCAAAGCAGCTCGTGTGGCGGAACGCGTTCATTTGGGGCATTAACCTGAGTGGCAACAGTCGTTATCCGCGAATACCCTTCGAAGCCAAATGCAAAGAAGTACCTCTGTTGTGTGTTCGCGTTAAAGGGGCCGTGCAACGATGTTTACTTGGAATGTTCTTCCCATTAGACGAGCTCACTGGCACTAGCGAAACCCAACTAAAGTCGCACGTAACGCCACTGACAAGACACTCCTTTGTTGCAGTGCAATTTTAAGGACAAAAGCGAGCGTTTTCTTTCTGTGTCTGCTTCACAAAACTTGACGTAACTGGCGACGGTATTTGAATGCGGCTTATGCACTGGACCCGAGCATTGCGTGAGCCCTCAATATGGGCTCGTGATAATCAATAGCTCGACTACCATTTGAGTAATGGCCCGTGTCCATTCGTTGGAATGTCGACAATAGCCGATTCATAGCAATGTCTGGAACTCAGCTCGTGTCATGTGCTTTGGCAACCCCAGCGTGTGGTTATGATCAGCATTGGCGGCATATAATCGGCTCCAGATCACGTGGCCGCTTGTTCGAGCTGCAAGTTGAGGGGGTAAACATTGCTCGTGTTTTTTTAAATTTTCTCTGCGACTTCAATCGCGTGGGGTGATTAACAATCAGCTGTATCGTAGGTCATTGACGTCAGAGATTAGTTCTAAGCGGTTTTGAGCAAAATACAGAAATCGTTGTAAAACAAGGCCATTGAGCGTTACATTCATTAGGCATTACACGAAGGCGGTTAAGGTGAAATAATGCGACGGCGAAATTATTTAGCCGCGAATTAGCCTAAACGCTAGACAGAAATTTTTACTCTTATGTCGTCTTTTTCTATTTGCAAATCGTCAAAAATCTGAAGAAGTAGAAGCCGAAGTAAACCACGAAATACAAAGTTGTTAGTGAGCGCTGTGTGAAAGGAGTGTTCTTTGGGTATGTGAATGCTTGAATGACAGTTTTTTGAGTGCGCTAAACGTCGACAAACAGCGAAATTGTCGTTTCACAAAAATTGCTTTTTGAAATGTCGCTAATGGAAAAGGATAGACAAACGTAAAACTAAGATTAAAGGCTTAATCGGGGAGCGTGTGCCAGAAACAAAATAGAGAGCGAACGTCGAGAAAGCTGCGGCGAGCGTCGAAGTGTCGGCGTGACAGCCGGGAGAGAGTCTCTCGGCTGCCACGAGCGCAAGTGTCTCTCAGCGAGGCCACGCTGGCCTCGTTATTTTCTGCACGCGGTATCTCGAACATTCGTCCTTGAATGCTCGAGCTTCTAGCATTTTTGGTAAAAGTAAACGCGAATTTAGTTGAATTATGGAGTAGCGCTCCCTCTAATCTGTGCATGCGGCAATATATATGTTCTCTGACGGAGTAAGAACGGCATGGCGTCTCTTTCAGTGTCCGGCCTCCTGCACAGGCTCGTCGCCCTTCGCCGTGCTTTGACTTCGCGCGCATGCTCGAGACTCATGGGACGACGAAGCTTTATTGAAAATGGGAAGCTCGGGCTGGAGGCGGGAGAGCTTAAGGACCTCCCTGCAGTTCTTAACCTGTCGGTGACTATGATTGATAGCATTTATTGCGTAGCTTTTCTTAAAACAGGGTGACAGCTGGTATATAGATATTTTGATTGTGACTCATTCGAACGATTATATTTTTTGAAAATTACGAAAAATACGTAATATGGGAGAATCAGCAGTAGAACAGTGCACATTTTTGAAAAATTCAAGTGTTCTTAAAGTGACCTATAAAATATTGAAAGTTAAAGGTCGCAATCGTTGCGACAAAATCAATCTACTTGTAAAACATGTTACACTACCTGGACCGTGCTGAGAAAAATCCGGAGGAGCAGAATGCGCTGCGAAGGGAGGAAATGACGCAGGTCTGTATATAACGTCACGTGACCTCGCGGTATTAAACGACGGTAACGCCAGATGGCTTCCTGGTGTCGCGTCACGTCGCAGTCCCGTGACCTCAAGATGTCACGTGACGTCATACTTCGTGATATCATGTCGTCTCACTAACGTGACACCATGATTTGATGTTACGCGACGCTTTCATTGACCACCAGGGTGTCAGGCACGCCCCTCCCTCATTTGACGCCAGGGTGGGTGTTTCTTGACGTTAAGATGTCACGTAATGTCACAGTCCTTCATGATGGTTTTTAAGACGGCTCTTCATGACTATTTTCTAGTGGAATTCGGCTAAAAAAAAACACATTTTGTGTTTCTGTACTTACCCAGTTGTTCATTCACAGGAGGAAATCCCCTATCACTGGGAAAGCTGGACGGCACCGATATGTGGGCACCCTTGTCCATCGGATACGCGTCGCCGCGCTACGAGATTCTATACAACATCGATCCTATCGACAACAATTCGGCTCTTCGTTACACCAACTACAAGCTGGTCCTCGGTATAACCGAAAACGGGCAGTACGACCCGCGATTCCTGACCACAGGAGGCTCGCGTCCCTATGACGACCTGGACCTCCTGATGGTCCAGTCCACAGCGGCCAGGGTTCTGAGGGACCTTCGCAACAAGGGAGACCTCCAGTTTCCCGACCAGTGGCGGGAGAAGGCGACGCTCAACTGCGGCAACAAAGTGCCCAAGAACTTTGTGTCCCTGGCTCCGCCGTACTTGTTTGACCTGGCCAGCGACCCCTGCGAGATCAACAACATTGCCAGTTCGCAGGCAGGGGTGAGCGTTTGTTGAACGGAGAGTTGTTTACATGCATGTATGGTGCCTGAAACATGTCTCCGACTGGTGTGTTTACCGTGTTCAAAAAAGTGGTCTCTCGATTTCCGCCTGCTGACGTTGTTGAAGCGTCACGCTGTCGTCCGTCGCGGTCCTGGCGGTGAGGTGACACAGCACCGGAGGTGGAGGTTGGAGACGCCTGTTCTGCAGCAGGTTGCTCTACAGTTTGAGTCCACGGAGGCTTCGGCAGCCAGCAGTTGGAACGCTGTGACGACAGCGACACTCGCGTTTGCGTTTGCTTTTTGCCGGAATTGTTACGGCCACCCACCAGCATCGCGACATCCGACAGCGTGGCACTCCGACTTTTGTGGCGTCATTTGTTGCCACTTGGGGACCACTTTTGATGCATGGGCGGAATGGGACGCTAAACACACCAGTTGGAGACGCGTTCTAGGCGCCGCTGTACAATCCCGCGTCTGCCCACACCAGGTGTGGGCACTGCGCTTGTGTAGAAAACGTATTTGTGTGAGGTGAATCGTTTACTGGTGCCCCATGCCGACAGCAGCGCAACCACAGCGGCGTCGAGTGGGAGCCACGTGTTGGTGTATTCGCGGCGAGAAGTTTCGGTGTCACCATCTCGCGGAATCCCTGCACAACCCAAAGTGAGGACTCTTCCGAAGCTCCCGACGCCGCTGCCGCTTCTCAGAGCTGAATAGGCTTTCCTTTTAAAGGAATACTACAACGAAATTTCGGCGCTCATTTTTTGGTCTATATATGTTCAAAGGAGCAGCATCATATCGAACATACCAATATCTTGTTAAAAAAGTCACGAAAAAAAATTTTAAAACAAATTAAACGATTAGCAAAGAGCACCTGGTAAATGTCGCTAACGCCTCGCTTGTAATGCACGTCTAGGAACCTTGACAGCTAGTGACGGAGGTTGTCTCGCCCCCGGCCACGACGAGAGAAGACGGACAGGAGGAACTCCCCTCTTCCCGAGACTGCCTTTTGTGTGTCGCAGAAGTCGCTATTGTCCCCCTACAAGATTATAGAAGATTAACCCTTCACTCAAAATTCGTACAAAAGCAGCCGCTTCGGTGGCTGGAACGACTAGGCCATCCTCTCGACGTCAGCCTCGCCGTAGCTTTGCTCGTACTGAGACGACCTACGTCACGATTGCGTTAGATGTCACGTGGTCTCCGCTGGGCCTTCTCCGAGCGCTTGCCAGAGGGGGCCGTTTATAACGAGAAATACAGTCACCGGGCTCAAAATACAAACGTGCGATTGTCATTTACGGATATTGTGGATCATATTCAACCCATTTTTGAACACGACGGGAAAATTTCAAATTTCGTTGAAGTATCCCTTTAAAGGGCTACTCCACCGATTTTTTCATTGTCTCCGATTTGCTTGAAATTTTGCTAAACTAACTAACAAACATCGCGAAAATAGTATCCCAAATATTAGGTCAAAATATTGTTTTTTCGCGAAGTTATTGAATTTACAGTTTTGGTCCTCACCGTGTTTTTCAACATCGAAGTCTCTACTGGCAACAATGAAAAAGTGACGTCATGGGAAGGCAGGGGTTCACTCTTTGGGCTGTAGATTTTGTTTTAAACTGATTCGAAGCAGTTTCATGGTGTCAAAAGAATGCTTGGGAAGCTCGCTACAGTACCCGCGCTCCAGCACGGAACAAATGATTGGCATATTCTATTTTTTGGCTGCCTGCTGGACTGACAAGCCTGCCTGCCACTGACGTCACGGCCCTGAAAAGCGCGCGTATATTTGAATGTTGGTTTTTGCATCATTTTCATTTGCCGATCTCGCAATAACTATTATGAATTTCGCGATTCTAAATAGCATACCGGAGAGAGTAAAGGCCGGGGAGTCAGAAAATATAGTTAGTTGAGGTAGCTCAAAAAATCGGTGGAGTACCCCTTTAAAGGATACGACAACAAAAATTCGGCGCTCATTTTTTGGTCTCTATGTGTTCAAAGGAGCAGCATCACATCGAACATACCAATATCTTGTTAAAAAAGACTCGGAAAGGAATTTTAAAACAAATTAAACGATTAGCAAAGAGCACCTGGCGGATGTCGCTAACGCCTCGCTCCGTCTAGGAACCTTGACTGCTAGTGACGGTGAGTTTCTCGCCTCCGGCCACGACGAGAGGAGAGGGGAAGGAGGAACTCCCCTCTTCCCGAGACTGCCTTTTGTCTGTCGCAGAAGTCGCTATTGTCCCCCCCCCCCCCCCCCCCCCCCCCCCAACAAGATTATAGAAGATTAACCCGTCACTCAAAATTCCTACAAAAGCAGCCGCTTCGGTGGCTGGAACGACTAGGCCATCCTCTCGACGTCAGCCTCGCCGTAGCTTTGCTCGTCCCGGGACGTCCACATGACATCCAACGCTGTCACGACTGCGTTGGATGTCACGTGGTCTCCACTGGGCCTTCTCCGAGCGCTTGCCGGAGTGGGCCGTTTATAACGAAAAATACAGCCACGAGGCTCAAAATACAAACGTGCGATTGTCATTTACGGATATTGTAGATCATATTCAACCTATTTTTGAACACGACGGGAATATTTCAAATTTCGTTGAAGTATCCTTTTAAGCTCACTGTTTAGCTAGTGACTTTATTTTGTCGTTTTTGTTTTTATAACATGTTTTTGCATTCATTGCGGTCGATTACAAATAACTCGAAATTTATTTATTTTTTATTGAGCAAAGCTCGATTAAGCTGGTCATTTTCATTTCACTAATGTTTTAAATTTAAAAGTTTTTAAACTTTAATTGCCAGTTTTAAGAGAATCCCTTGTCCCACTTCTTTTAGAACAATCAATGGCATCATTCTCGTCCTGCTTCCCTCCCTTGAGACCAAAGGACTAGTTCTCTATCCCGATTTTGCATCTTTAAAAAATCAGTAGCCGTCAGGCAGCGATTTGATCTTATCCACACCCTGGACTTTACCAAGTTTAGAAAGATCAGCAGCAGCACCACGTTTAGTATTTTGGTAATTACAGCGAACATGTAAATGCACCCATCATATAAAGTGTGAATGACTATGAAACTTTACAGAGTTAATGCGAAAAAAAAAAGTTGCAGCCTGAAGAGGCGAATGAAAAAGCGATGCTTTTTGCGTTTGGAACGTGTACGTTGTGATAAGATGACGTATATTTAATATAAAATTCGCCTACATATATGTTAATTATCCACATCAAGGGGGAGTTAGTGATGCTCAGCGAGGAGCAGGACTTTTTTTTACTACGGTTCTTGAGGTGAAAACAAGCATAGCAGTGTGGAAAGGGTTCAGAAGATAGGGCTGGGGAGGGGGGGGGGGGGGTCATAATATTGTTTACTGGAAATGGCCTAATCTTTCTGCACCTTTCTTCGTTTTTACACCCCCGCTCCCATCCGCTAAGCACAAGACAATACACGTCAAAAATTACAGCAGGATCCCTGTGTTGCGCTTTTTGGACTCCCACGGCGACTAGAGAGAAGGAAGGGACGTCAACAACGCAGCAAAAGCAGATTGAATGTTGATTGGTGATAGTTGCTGATGACGAATTTCCGCAGGAAGAAACTAAGCTCACTTTTCCTTTGTTTTCTTCTGCGTATATTCGTCATCACCGACTCTCACCAATCAGCATCCAATCTGCCTTTGCTGCGCTGTTGACGTCACTTCCCTTTCTCTAATCACCATGGGAGTTCAAAAAGCGCAACATAGGGCCCCTGCTCTAGTTCATTTTCTTTTTCTTTCGTACATAAAAATATTTAACCCTGAAAAAAATTATCGCCAGGATTCTCTTTTTTTTTTCTGGGGGAGGGCGGATGCGTTTGGGATGTACCTGGCTTTTTCGGTAGGTGAAGGATTAAGAAAAATGTCCAACCCCCCTCTCCCCCCCCCTTCCCCCCCCCCCCCCCCCACACACACACACACACATTGATCGCCTGTGTGCGATCCCCGAGGTGATTAAAAAGTTTACTCCGACTTAACATAACGAGTTAGTAACAGAAGGTACAGACGTTTCGCCACCTATGCAGGTGGCATCTTCAGTGCATACTGACACCACTGAGGCGAGCAGTCACCAGTTACTCTCCCCCTCCCCTTTCCCTGGAACCGGTCCGGACTACCCCCCCCCCCCCCCCCCCCCCCCCCCCTCGGCCTCTACCAAACCGGTCGGGACACATACTCTCCTCCCGGTCGGGACGGCGCCCGCGAGCCGCCCAAAAAAAGGAAAGAGGGAAACCGGGAGAGTGAGGCTGGAATCCTCCCCCCGCCCCCCCCTACTCCCACCAAACCTGCCCACGTCCACGGCCACAGCCACGCCGTACGGTCTCTGTGAGACGAAGTGTACTTATCAGCAATGTCCCCGTAAATGTCCGGCAGGAAGCCACGGTTAGTGTTGCACACGGATGGGTCACGACGAATGAACCATGATTCAAGTAACTTCCTTGGGCCCGCCGCTGGTCTCGACCTAACGTCGCCGCATTGTCCAGGTCAAACGTGTGCCCTGCCATCCAGCAATGGTCGACAAGTTCAGTCTTTTATCGAGTCGCGTGCGTGGCCTTGGCCACGTCTCTTTTGTTTTCCTTCAGTCTCGTTGTCCTCTTTCTTCCTGTCTCACCAATGTACGTGGCATCACAATCACCGCACTGCACTTTGTACACCACCCCACTCTGGACGTCCGCAGTGGTGCGGTCTTTTGGCTTCGGGAACACATTCCCCAGAGTGTAATGAGGTTGAAACACAGTTTGTATGCCCAACGGACGTAAGGCTTTCCTACCTGTGTCTGACACGCCGCTAACATATGAAATAGACACAATCGACGCGTTCTTTTCCCGTGACACACTCTCCCTACCCCTCTGCATGCGCTTCTGAGTATCGGCAGTAAACGCCTTTGGATAGTGGCGTTCTCATAAAGCATTAACTACGTTGTTTAGTTCCTGTTTCCGTAGGCTCTCGTTTGAGGACACTGCATCGCAACGAGATAAACCTGCGCTTCAACCTGCGCTTCAACCTGCGCTTCAACTGCGAGTGCCAGAACGACAACGTGGTACCCAAACGTCTCCACTGCAGGACCCTCGTTGACACCCCCTACGGCCGCACGCTCGCACGGAAATTCAGCCGCAACTGCCTGAAAGCCAGAATCCAAGATAACAAGCAACAAATTCAGCAAGTAAGACGTCGGGTGTACGCGGCGGAAACCTGTCTCCGTTCTAAGCTGCGCCCCAATGACTTCCACGATATCATCAGGGCGCGAAAACAAGCTGAAGATTTGGAAAGGAGCAAGTGCACTGAAGTCCATCGCCAGAAGTTGTCCCGATTGATACATCGCCATCGGCCAGAACAGAATAGTTTTGAAGCAGTGCAGAACTTCTCCTCGAAACATCTATCGGACAGTCACATGAGCTTGTTGTTGAAGGGCCTGAATTTCGCAATTACCCCAAGGAAAGTGCCCAAACGTGATATTATTGTGGAGGTTGAGGAGAGGTTGCGGCATATCCAGGATATAACTGGGGTAAACTTGGCTCGTAGCCGAATTGTAAGTGTCCTGGCAAATGCAAAAAACACTCACACGAACCTTACCACTGGGGAACGAACGGCGCTAAATGATCTCAGATGAGATAAATCTATCGTTATGCTCTCGGCAGATAAGGGAAACGGTACTGTAATGCTAGATCGAAAGGATTATGAGAAGAAAATGTACAACATCTTGAACGATCCCTCGCACTTTCTGAAGCTGAACCGTGACCCGTCAGCAAAGTCAGAGCGCCAGCTCGTTGAACATTTACGGGCACTCCGTAACAAGGGACGCATAGATCAAACGTTGTACCGCCGACTGTTTTCTTCGGACGGGGCCACTCCACACATCTATGGGCTAACTAAGGTACACAAAGAGGGCTGTCCTCTCCGTCCTATCGTGTCTTTTGTTGGTTCACCAACTTACAACCTGTTGAAGTTCTTGGTTGAAGTGCTGAAGCCGTTAACTGAGGACAACTCTAGGTCGGTTAACAACTGTCGCGATTTCGTAACCGACGTCCGTACGCAGCAGCTTGACGATGACGATGTGATGGTGTCATTTGAAGTTATTTCTTTGTTTACGAATGTCCCCATCCGCTAGGCTGCTGATGTGGTTGAGGAGCGACTGAAGGACGATTCAATGTTGGCAAGCCGTACTTCCTTACTGGTGAAGGAGATAGTTATTTTATTGCGGTTTTGCTTGAACCAAACCTACTTCAGTTTTGCCAACGTTATTTATCATCCAATTGAAGGGTTTCCCATGGAAAGTCATGTTTCTGTCCCCATGGCAAACTTGGTTATGGAGCATGTTGAAACACAGGTTTTAAGCTCGCTACCTTTTCCTGTTAAGATGTATCGTAGGTACGTGGACGACACGTTTGTAATTTTGAAAAGGGCCAACCTGTACGACTTCCACGCGGCGCTGAACGGCGTCCACCACGCCATTCAGTTTACATACGAAACAGAGAAATATGGTGTTTTGCCTTTTTTAGACGTACTTGTGCGCCGGGGTGGTGACGGCAGTAGAGACGGCAGTGTACCGCAAGCCGTGCGACACTGGTAATTTTTTGTCCCACAATTCCCACCACCCAACGGAACATAAGCGGTCTGTGGTGAGAACGTTTTTATCTCGTTGCGATGCAGTGTCCTGAAACCAGAGCCTACTGAAGCAGGAACTAAACAACGTAGTTAATGCTTTAAAAGAACGCCACTATCCAAAGGCGTTTATTGCCGATACTCAGAAGCGCATGCAGAGGGGTAGGGAGAGTGTGTCACGGGAAAAGAACGCGTCGATTGTGTCTATTCCATATGTTCGCGGCGTGTCAGACGCAGTAAGGAGAGCCTTACGTCCGTTGGGCATACAAACTGTGTTTCAACCTCATTACACTCTGGGGAATGTGTTCCCGAAGCCAAAAGACCGCACCCCTGGGGACGTCCAGAGTGGGGTGGTGTACAAAGTGCAGTGCGGTGATTGTGATGCCACGCACATTGGTGAGACAGGAAGCAAGAGGACAACGAGACTGAAGAAAAACAAAAGAGACGTGGCCAAGGCCACGCACGCGACTCGATCAAAGACTGAACTTGTCGACCATTGCTGGACGACAGGGCACACGTTTGACCTGGACAATGCGGCGACGTTAGGTCGAGACCAGCGGTGGGGCCCAAGGAAGTTACTTCAATCATGGTTCATTCGTCGTGGCCCATCCGTGTGCAACACTAACCGTGGCTTCCTGCCGGACATTTACGGGAACATTGCTGATAAGTAGACTTCGTCTCACAGAGACCGTACGGCGTGGCTGTGGCCGTGGACGTGGGCAGGTTTGGTGGGAGTAGGGGGGGGCGGGGGAGAATTCCAGTCTCACTTTCCTGGTTTCCCCCTCTCCTCTTTTTGGGCGGCTCGCGGGCGCCGTCCCGACCGGGAGGAGAGTACGTGTCCCGACCGGTTTGGTAGAGGCCGAGGGGGGGGGGGGGGGGGGGGGGGTGTAGTCCCGACCGGTTCCAGGGAAAGGGGAGGGGGAGAGTAACTGGTGACTGCTCGCCTCAGTGGTGTCAGTATGCACTGAAGATGCCACCTGCATAGGTGGCGAAACGTCTGTACCTTCTGTTACTAACTCGTTATGTTAAGTCGGAGTAAACTTTTTAATCATGAATTCACCCGGCTTTTGGATCATTTTTGCATTGACCCCCGAGGTGCGAGTACTGTTTAATCTTAAGTTCGTATTGCAATGCTAATTATTGTTTTTTAATAAAAACAAAAACATTCGTTTGAAAATATTCTAATTCCGAAACTAGAACCACTAAAGTTTCCCTAGACTCGTCAAGGATGCCAACACGCCAGCGTCCCAACACAAATTTGGCAACTTTTAACTTACTGCGTTCAAAGTTTCCCGCGTCAAAATAACGCCACCCGCCCGGAGTGCAGATAAAGAAAACCCAGCACACTTCGACCGCTTCGTGCCTCCGGTACAGCGTCCACAGGGGGGATCGGTGGCCGAGTGGGCTAGCGCCTGGCGCACACCAGCTCGGAGCACGTGGAGCGACAGCTCGCGCTGCAGAACCCAGGGATCCTTGGCTCAATCCCCACCCCTGCCCGTTTCGATCTGGATGAGCATCGTACCGGCGTGCGGTCGTGTGTCACTACTGCGTGATGCACGTTAAAGACCCCAGGTCAGCGGTTGTACTGCGCTGGCTAAATTGCTCATCTACAGCTGGGAGACTCGTCGCCCGTTGAGGCAGACCAAGTTCTAGGCTGTATAAACATACACACAAACCCAATTCTTCTTTACAACGTCCGCGCCTCTGCACGCAATCCGCACTCATGCACTCGGAAGGCGGATTAGAATCCACCACTATCCGCACTTGGAGTGCGGATTAGAATCCACCACTATCCGCACTCGGATTGCGACACACAGAAAGAGGCGAGCCACACGGGAGGTTGGCTTGGGAGCTTGGGAATGCTACGTGGCTAAAGGTCATGCCTCCCCCGTGGCCCTAGATTGTTTGGAGCAGTATGCATGGGTACATCAAGATGGCGCTGCAACTGCTTGCGTATGCGTTTGCGTTCCGATGAACTGAAAGCGCTGGTTTCACGCGCTCCGCAGCGTTCTGCTATACTTCGTTTTAGCGTAAGTTCTGAAAGCGCGAGCTCCGGGCTTTCAGCGTCTCTCCCAAGCACGCGCACACCCGTGGTGCAAACTCTGTTCAGGGCCACATGCTCGCGCTCGTAGCATCGTCTGCGGCTGTACCTAAGCTGAAACAAAGTACAAACCCCGATTCAGACAGTTGCGTTTGACTGTGTTTGACTGCGTTTGACTGCATTGCGTCGGGAACCGAAAGCGAATCACCGGCACATCTGTGCTTCGTATGAAAAGTGGAATCCCATTCAACGAATCATCTTGGCGCCCGATAGAAGCAGCAGGGATGTCCTGGTTTCTCGCAGCCGCAATGCTGTCAAACTCAGTCAAACGCAAATGTCTGAACCAGGCTTAAAAGTTTGCGTGGGTCGTATGTGTTGGTTACGCAAGGGTAATTACGCTATTCTAAAACTCACTATGTGACAAGCAATACCGACGTTTTAGCAACAGCCTAGAAATTGCGAGAGTAAAATGGGACTTTGTGCAGAACTGACGATACCTTGATCGCGCTGAGTCGTGTTCGCTAGATTTTTTGTAGAATCGCAGGACTGGGGAATGCTACGTGGCAAAAGTTATATTTAGATTAGTAGTGAGAAACCTCGACTCGTCGTCGATGGGGAACGCATCGACTAAACTCGAATTCCTGTTGCCCGTTTCAGCTGGTGGCTTTCTTGAGGGGCAGGATACAGAGCTACGCGCAGACTGCTGCGGCAACGATCAACCAACCTACTGATCCCAACGGATATCCCGAAAACCTCAACGGAACGTGGGGTTCCTGGATCACGTGACTGCCATGAACATCCGTACATATAAATGTCTAGCCGCATTACGGACATAGGTACGGGCGTATCTGCCACTTGTATGTTAAGCGTATCCACCTCCAGTATTAGCCTATTTTTTGTGACGTCATATGTCTGCGAGTCTCAGATCAGCGCGACACTGGTGGTGGATTGCGCAACCTCTTATGGATTTGGAAACATGCGTCGAGACGGTTACGATATGTTCTAGTGAAGCTAGACAGCTACGCTCAAGATATCGGCATCAATTTTCCCATTGTCCTAAGCAGCCGATCATCCGTAGTTGGTTTGTTTACATCACGTGATATTTGTATACGTATGAGCGGTTTGTAGCAGTCGCCTTTTTGAGGGTTAGAGCCGTACGAGGGACGCTTGCAAAAGTAAAGGTTCTGAATATAAGGTTTAAAAAGTAGACACGGAGTTAGGAGACCGTCGTGGTATCGCTGTGCTTTGTTGCGAACTGTTTAATGAAGCGAGACGACGGATAGCACTTCTTAAAAGTAAACATTTGACATAGATTTGTCTTGGGAGTAATTAATTATAAAAGAGTTCAAGCACCAACCAAGCCCTTTTATAGGGACCCTATGTTTCGAAGCCAATTCGGCCTCTTCTTCAGGGGCGACTGCGGCTATGACCATTGAGGAGCAGTGTCCTTTTATTTTTCTTATGCAGTGGGTATCGGGTCTTCTTCTATGGCTGTACCTTTTAATAAAGTGACGAAACCCGTTCACATATCCGGATGGTAAAGCTCCGAGACCTATTGATGTTCTGTGGCGTTGTTTGGGTATGCCAGGATACGAGGAACAGTATCTTTCGAGGATTTGCCTCAACGTCAGTGACAAGACTTACATGACATTGAGACAAATCCCTGAAGGAGGCTGTTTTCGAATCCTGGTGTATTGAAACAAAGCCACGGAACATCAACGGGTCTCTCAAAGCTTTAATATCCGCATATGAGAACGGGCTTCGTCACTTTATTGAAAAGGTACAGACGTAGAAGACCAGATACCTACTGTGGAACAAACAGAAAAAAATACTGCTCGTCAACGCCAATAATCGTAGTCGTCTCTGAAGTAGAGGCCGAATCGGCTTCGAAACGTAAAGTCCCTGTAAAAGAGCTTAATTGGTGTTTAAACTTTTTTTTTTTTTTTTTTTTTTTTTTTATAAATAAAGCATTTTAATTTTTATTCAAGCACGTCGGCAGAACCTGGTGACTACTGGCAACGTTGATTCTACGCAACGGCTGAAACATTAGACAGTTTTAGTGGACCGTACGCTATAGCTTTGCGTACTCAAGGAGATTGCGGGTCGTGAGTGCGCATGCGCAGAACGCAATAGAAGGGCTAGCGTATTAGTCAGTTTTAGTGGACCGTACGCTATAGCTTTGCGTACGCAAGGAGATTGCGTGTCGTGAGTGCGCATGCGCAGAACGCAATAGATGGGCTAGCGTATTGCGTACGCACGCAACGCTGGGGATTTTGCGTTGCTGGCTAGCGGGCCTTGCGGGACGCTCTCGAGAGATCTCGGACGCATCGAGAGCACCAGTTTCAAGATGGCGGTTGCCTCGACTGGCGCAGCAAGGGCGACGTGGTGCTTTCGAAGTTCTGTGTTACGTGAAGTTGCGTGGTGTTCAGCTCGGCGATTCTTTCTGGGACCTACCGCGGTGGAATCAGATCGACCTGCAGCTGAAGGAGTGCACAGTGGAAATGTTCGCCGCTCGCAGTGTGCGTTGACGCTGCGATCTGCTCAACGCTAAGCCCATTCCCACAGTTCATCGCCGACGGACGAACGACTCTAAAAGAAATCGCCGAAGTTCTCGCTATGCACTGGACATCAGGGTCATGAATTTCATTCTGCGATAGCATTTATAAAAGGTGCCGTTTCCACGGGGCGACTGACGGAGGCTCCGTAGTCGAATTCGGCTACGCACTCGTAGCCTCTGTACCCCACAAAAAAGCGCGCTTGACTAGGCAGCTGTGGCTTGGTTTAATCTGAAATAAAATGATTGGACACTTTTTATTTTTTAATATTTCTTTCCAGGAGCATGGTTGCGCTATAAGCACGCGGAATTCTACGGCTCTAGCAAATTTAACCAAAATCATGCACGGTGTTCACTTGAAAACGTAACGCACAACTAAATTCGGTCCGAGCAGGTCTTTTTTAGCGTACGCTATACTATTGCGTATTGCGTACGTAAGATCCAGCAACGCTATACTAAAACTGTTTATTGTCACTCGAAAGCGTAGCATACCTAGTGGCTCTGTTCAGTTCCTGCTTGAGTATGCCTGCACGCCGGCTGACGCGACGGAAATTTCAGCAGTCACTCTTTATAGACAGCTAAGTGCCTGAATAAAACAAAAACAAAAAAATGTTTATTTTGCGCTTCTTACGAGTAGCGGCACCTTTTGCGGTGTCTACTGCCTTGAAACTGTAGGTTCTAGAAAAACAATGACAATGTACAACGGAAGAATGATAGCGAATTCGTTTCCTACATAAACATTGTCGTACCCCTTCTTTCTCCTCACCTGTAAAAGACGCGAAAACGAGAAGTGAGATACACGTGAAAAAAGCGCAAAAGACACGCAACAGACAGGTGAAAGATGTAAAGGAGATGTAAACGGTACACCGGCAAACATCTACAGAATAAAAAAAAGGCTTACAGACATCGCGACGTGAGCAACACACGCAGACTTTTGTCTGTTCCTCCTTCGCTTCCACGATGAGCCACCCGGACCACTCAACGGAAGGTGCTGGTCAAGCCTGGGAGAAGTCAATTTACATCGCATGCAATAACTCAGGGGTGGCCAAGCTGCGGCTCGCGAGCCGCATGCGGCTCTTCGCGCATTAAAGTGCGGCTCGCGGCTTCCCCAAAAAAAGAAATGGAACGCGTTTTAAGTCGAAAGGCAGGTTGCTGTTTGCTAGTGTTGTGCTATGCTACCTTACGTATACTAGGATTGTTTTTGACTCGAATAGATTAAAACTAGCTGAAGTTTCGTTTATTGCTCTGGACAAAAGAAACGAAACTCCTCGCTTATACTACCCTTGTCAGGTCGCAGTTGAAATATGCACTCATAAGATGGCACCCTCATCAGCTTTACTTAGCTAACCAAATTGAGGCACTTCAAAATAAAGCTGCAAGATTTATAACCCGCGACTTTTAGTGTGCCTAACATAAAAGCTAACCTCAACCTAACCCAATTGCGGTACAGGTGATGTATTGCTCGCATGTCCTTTTTCCCACAAGGTCCACTATGGATCATCTCCCTTTATGATCTTATTCATTCAGCCCACACATCGTATTTCGTCTTGCGTAGATAATCACTTTAAAGTATCGCCTGTCTTTGCCCGTACCAACTTGTTCAAAAATTCCCCTCCGGTTCTTGCCATCGCCGAATGGAACAGCCTGCCCAGAGAAATCGCGTTAATCACTTCCCCAGATATGTTCATTAGCTCTTTTAGTAATATGTATAAACTTGTATAGTGCTGCTCTGTGTTAGGATTTAATCCAGTGTTCGTGTTATTTATGTTGTTTATTGCTTGTTTGATATTCTTTATGCCAACTATGTAATAGCTCTTTTTCACCAGTTGACACATTTGTATCAAACCTTGTACCACCGCTTTCCCAACCTATGTAATGCCAGTGAGGGCCTTTAGGACGGACGGACAAACAAACAAATAAATAAATGTATCAAATTAAACTAAATTTCAAATTCAAATTTCGACACTCCAGCTATACGGCAACCAAGGCATGTACTTGCCGCTTTTAATGTCGTTTAGGCTGCACGAACGCACAAACCACGGGAGCACCGACGGAAGCAACTAACACTGACCTGTGTGTGGCCGTTACCATGTGCAAGCGAGACGAGGTATACATAGTATATCACGGCAGACATTATCTAGGTTAAAACTAAACATGACAACATCCACAAAGCCGCTGTCATGACGCTCGTACAGTATACAAAAGACGAGGTGTTGGCTGTAGAGCTGAAGACAAAATGGTCTGCGCACACGCATTTCTTTCGAAGTAGGCGAATCAAGCACGTTCGAATTAAGTGGGTTTGCTATGTACATATGTATACTTCAAACATTTCTACAGAATGTACTACGGCAAATGTTAGAGCCGTCATAACAGGAAAAAACCACGCCTCAGACAGTGCCTGAAGTGTGTATTTTGTAGAATGAATTACCAGAGGGACCTCGGGTTTACGCACATCGAATAAAAACAGACAGAAACACATCCCAGAACGAACAACAAACAATTGTATTGCTTTGCAAAAAAAAAAAAAAAAAAGAGGCTCTTCGCGGAATACACACATCTGTGCTTTGTACAAGAACACGTGCCCTTTTTAGGTGCACACATACAGTCAGACGCACGGATGCACTAGCCGAAGAAAGCCACCGGGGATCAACAAGTGTAGAAAATGCGAGAGGTATATCAAAATTTCTCTTCCCATCCAGCTACCCAAAATCAAGCACGCACATACTTTTCAAAGTAAAAAAAATGTAAAGTAGAGCGGCGGTGTTTCAAATATATAAAAAAGTCGTTAAACTGAAGCGGAAAGAAACGCCATCAAGATGGCCGAGGAGCTTGAAGCGGTCGCGAATGGGGCGTAGGCATTATCCTCGCTAACTTTTTACTCTGTTTCGAATTATGAATTACGTTTTTTTTTGTTTTTTTTAGCGGTGCACAATGAAGGTTTAGGAAGACAGCATGCAGCATAACCTCGACTTTAAAACGGCACGTTGGAGTTTTCTTGGTGCTGCAAAACGTCAAGAGAACATTCGACAAAATGATCGAAAAATGCTCCGCTCTTGCAATTCCAACATGGGCAGAAATAAACTTCGAAAGGATTGCACCCTGTATGCGCTTTTTTACGACAATTCAAACGCACAAGCATAAGTGGCATTCACTGCTATCTAAGCAACTGCCATGTCGACATGAACATAGTATCGCATTTTTCTCAATAGAATTACTGCGAGACTCTAGAATGAATTAGACACCGAAACAAAGCAGTCTCCTCACTCAACATGTGCAAAGTTGAACAGAGATATTTGACTACACTGAAATGTTTGACGATGCCGAATGGCGACAGGCAGCGTTTTGCCACAAAATCCGCATGACAATTTCCTGGTTACCCCCGCAGCATCAAGACACGTGAACTTTGCCAACGTCTTGATATGATTTGCCTAGTACTAGGCACATCGATAATCATGCGTGAACCAATGCGTCTCAAAACGTTCGGTCCTTTTTCGCCTTGCTAACTACCATAACAGCAACATGTTTATTCACAAAGTACCAATGAAAGTGAAAGTTAAACAAACTTGTTTTGCTTCTTTTGTCACAAGAAGCGATTAGTTGAACAGCGTTGGGGACGTGGCAAACTTAAAAGCTGGTATCAGCAAGCCAGTTCCGAACCATGATCCGTCAATACAATTTAGCTGGGAGAAAAGCTCGCGCGTATTTGAATTTTTCCACTACGAAAGAAACAAGACGGTGGGACACGGATGTCGTCTGCAAATCACTTTCCGCAAATGAAGTGTACATGACATGCGTTGCACAACATTCGCACGACACTTGATTGTCCATTGCAAGACGTCTCAAGTTGAGACGTATACAAATTTTATACACTGAAGAGAAGCTGGTTCGTTCAGAAGAAACTGCCGCGTACTCCAAGCTGGCGTTGAATGGTTGAGACGATGGTAGCTGCCCAGATACAATGAGACGTCGATCAGAAGAGAGATGACTGTTCAGAAGGTGGTGGGTTAGAAATTGCAAGGCGCAAACGAGTTAGCCTCGCTAGTGTGGCGACAATGAAAGTACTAGCCCACAGGGAAGGAGAGGACAACATGACAGGCTGCACCGACTAGCTCTCAAGTTGAGTCAAATACTTTAACGAGATGACAGCAGTTTCTGCTCGAGGTGGCACCGCGTCAAGACCACGCCTGTTCCTTCTCAATATGGTGGCGTTGTCTTCACTAGACGGGACCAGATGACGTTCCTTACTTCACAAGATGATTCGAAGCAACGATGTGGGCTTTATCATTTGCTCTGTTCCCGCAAACCACGTACCGTGGTGTCACAACCCTGCTCAGGCGAAAACGACCACATGGCATCACAATTCACGGTCAGCACCCGCCACGTGATTACGAACTCTGGGGCGCAGGGTTCGAGCAACCGAACACTGCCGCTAAGTCGTCACATTGCAGCGCCTGGACTGTGTCTCACGCAGCCTTTCGAGTTGCTTGCGTCTCCGTTCCGTGAATCGGCGCACAAAGCACGTGCTGTCCACGACGAACTTGGATTCCTTGTTGAGGAGGTCGTTGTGAGCCTGCGCGGTGATGACGTATTCGCGACCCACCCGGAGTTTGGGACACGGGCATCTGGCGTCCGGGACCCAGAAGAACTCCCGCTGCTGGAGGTCCAGTAGGTTACGGTAGGACTCCGATATTATGACGTCGTAGCGCAGAGATCCGTCGAGGCGCTCGAAGGAGAGCACAAGGGCATGAACCACTGGAAGCAACAAAAAAAGGAAGAAAAGCTTTTATAAATCAATGTTCGCGCATTTGCTACAGTCGATGACAAGCTAAAAACAGTATCTGCTCCGCGTCCAGCGCGAGCTTGTTACCGGTCGCCTGGCTTTGGCTTCACGTGCGCCAAAGAGCTATCAGAGGCAGAAAGTTTCCGCTGGTTGCCGCGGAGCTACTGCATTCTTAACCTGTCACCAAGTACTATTTAATCCTCACAATGTTTCGGTTGTTAGGGCATCTTTATGGGTCACTTGGGGCCTTTTACCTATTAAACAATTAACAGTAGATGGCATTCCTTGGTCGCTACAACTGAACAGATTTGCCTTGGGCCTTTGGTGTGTACACATTGTCTTTAGCGATACTACGGTGCCTATCACGTGTGTCCTAGTGGTGAGTTAACATGCTTTTATGTTGTCTCCCATTTCCACCCGGCAACGTCACAACTGTTGCAAGCCGTTGCGAGCCTAGCGGTGGATACAGCATTGAAAGTAGATACTAAAGAGGCCTGCTCTGGTGCAGCCAGAGCGGGCGTCTGTAGTCAACGGCAACCACAGTAGCAAACCCGTCGCCAGAATGTTTGTCTTTTGTGGAGCAGGGGGGTATTTGCTGAGGCCACGACTTCCAAGCATTAGATAAAAGAAGGGGAGGGGGATTGAGGACTAAAATGGCATCATTATAGCCGGCCGGGCTTCGAGGTCTTTCTGAGCAAAAGAGACAATGAGCCTATGATTTGCGAGCTCGTCACCATTCGAAAGGCTTCAATATCCTTCTCCCGACGTGGTCACGAATAATTAATTACCAGTGCGTCGTGGACGCAAAAGTCGGGAGTGCAGCCACGAGATTCCCGTCTTTGCATGTCTATTATGTGGTGCAGGCTGTTGGATGTAGTGTCCTCTACTTTTTGGGATGCTCCCAGAGCCGGTCGTTTACACAGCATCCGTTTGGCCGATAGCGCCGCAGGAAATCGGCATGGAAAGATCTGCTGAGGTTTGCATGTGGTCAGCTTGTTATCATGTTTGGTGGTGCAGCGGGGTGGCGGGGGCTTCTCTCTATTTAGCGACGTGTACAGGTCTCTCAGCTTCGATTTGCACGCCTACATCTACGTCAGATGTGAAGGCTATAGGGAGCATTCACTGGACGCCATATTTGAGGGCGATGCATAGGGTGCATGCTCAGAACGAGCTTACATTAATAGCCTGCTAAGACCGGCAATCTTGATGGTGTGGAATGCACGTTGCAAAAGAACTGGGGAAGCTCGCCGTCAGCATGCGCTCAGCAACCACGCACACAGTATGGCCTCCGGTGAATACTCCCTATGGACTTAAATCGGCGGGCCATCGTGTACATAGCTCGAACCGACGTGTTTGTAAAAAGCAAGAGGGAAGAAAAAGAGCTGTTCGCTTGACATCTCCGAAGCCGTCCTCAAGCTTTCTTCTCTTCCCCCCCCCCCCCCCCCCCCCCCCTTTCTCCTCCCTGGCTACGTGCCTGCCCAGTAACAAGAGGTTGGGTCGTCGCAGCGATGACGACGCCCGAATTTGTTCGAGAACTTTGCCGGCGGTTGTGTAAGTCACCGCCAAGATCTCGACAACCTTTAGCGTTACAGGAAGACCCCTGTGAATCGGCCATGGGCCTAGCATGACCGAGCAGCACGGGGGAGCTTCCTTCAAGTGCGAATAAAAATGACACGCGCTGTTCGAACCAGCAGCAGCCATGGCCACACCGATCTGCTTGTCTGTGTCCCTATTATCTAAACGATACACTGTGTGATATATTTTGCTGCCCTTTCTGTGACACTATACAGGGCGCATTTTTTTCAGCTTAACATTTGTTTTAAAAAAGCCGCGAAAGCTACACTTATGCTCTTTGTGGAGGTGAGTTATTAGGTCAGGGGGACAGAATATAGAGGGCTAATCCTAACGGTCAGCCGGCTAATTAAGTAAAATTGGTCAATTATTCTTTTAATCAGTGAAAATATATATATAATGATCCAAATAGAAACTTGCTGAGCGTCATCGAAAACCTTTAAATCAACCTTCTAATATATATATATAAAACGAGCAGAATTTTACGGCGTTCGGTAAAAAAATGTTCAATTTGGATGCGTTTCTAGGTTTCGGTTTCTTATCAGAGCGCATCTTTGTGCCCGCGGTCCTGCTCCCCAGTGGCCACAACGCGCAACACAAGTGCGCCATATTTCTTTCCATCGTACGAGAGACGCGAGGTGACGGCTTCGCGCAGCGACCACCGGGAAGCAGCAGCGCGGGCACAAAGATGGGCTGCGATAAGAAACCAAAACCTAGAAACGCGTCCAAACAGCGTTTTTTTCAGCACGCCATAAAATGCTGCTCCTGTCGTATATTTTTCTAAAAAGAGTTGATTTAGTGGTTTTCGATGACGCCCCGCAAATTCCCAGTTAGAATGACATACAGTCATGTCTCGTTAATATGGACCCCGCTAATATGAATACCCCGCTATATGGTCAACATTTTCAAAGAAACTGGAAAAATTCGTACATTTTTGTCTCGTCATTATGGGCAACTCACGTTATGAACAATTTTGGGGGGAACGGAGGTGTCCATATTAACGAAACATCACTATCTAGTTTCCCTCATAAAAAATGAAAGCCGTTTACAACTCCCTGTAGCCCAGAACTTGAGCGCAGCTCTTGAGCAGGAGGATGAAAGGCTACTAAGGGGAGAGTATGCCCCTCCTTTCTTCTCCTCCCCTCGTCATCCTGCCTGCTACTCCACCACGGGGCCACGTGGCCCCCGTGACGTCACGTGCCCCCTGAGGTCCCGTGAATACCCCGAAGTCACGTGAACCCCCCGAAGTCACGTGAACCCCCCGAAGTCACGTGAGCCCCCCGAAGTCACGTGACTACCCCCTGAGGTCACGTGACTACCCCCTGAGGTCACATGACCCGCGTGACGTCACAGAGGTCACGCGATCTCAGGGGGGGTTACGTTGCCTCACGGTTACGACAACGGCAACGCCGCTCAAGCCGGAAACGGGCGCCTAAGAGCTGCGCTCTAAAATGTAATTTAATAAACTGTGCTAAATTAGGCGATTGACCGTTATGATTAGCCCCTACAGTATGTCCCCATGGCCGTATAACCCACCCACACAAACCACATACGTGTAGCTTTACGGCTCGTTCTAAACAAATCTATTCAGCTTTGAAAAACACCGTATATTCTCACGCGTTGTATGCGGCGAGCAAGTTGTCTACTCCTTGTGCAGGTGGTACACAGTGACGCCACAGCGCCGAGCTCTGACTGGAAGATATAGTGGGTAGACACTAAGACGCAGTGGTCTGCTAGTCGTAGCAATGGCTGCTTTGGCTTTTTTATGGCTATCGGTAATCGACGTCTTTTGTTTTTTTTACGAACGAGGATTTTTGTTTTGGTGGATGGGGGATGAAATACTCCGGAGAATACGTTGTTTTTTGCCGACTAACAGAACTGCCAGACGCGCTACAATGAGCAAAGCACTCGCGGTTGAGATGTCTGCAACCCATCGAAGAGCATAACGAATGCGTCGACGGAGCTTCATCGCACACGAGATTCTTTTCTCTCACATGTTTGTACCATTTTTCTCGTTCGATGAGAGTCGTGTACAATGCATTTTGGAAAACAAGGCCACACACAGGAAAGAAGAATAGAGACCCCAGCGACGTTGGCGGGGACAACGAGCATGCAAAACGTCATGCTCAATTTTTATTGCGCACACTGCATTGCTTTTTTTTTTTGTGGCCTAGTTATAATCTGTCTCCATCATTCGCTGGCATCGTTCTATATTTTGCCGTGCTTAACTTCCTTCTTGTTCCACGGGAAAGTTAACTCGCGGAATCTGTACTGCTGGGTTGTCAACGCCACCTAACGGAAGCCAGCGCGATGCAAGGGGCAGTGCAACAATTTTCAGACTTTGGCCAATTAACTGCGGAAATTAATCCGCGTCACCTATGAAACAAAAAACCGAAGGCCGCATTTTCTTGCGAGCGCTAGTTCTTAAAAAAATGAAACAAATCGAAGGTCGAAGTGCCTCTCAACTCTCCACGCTGACTTTCGAGTGACGTCTCTGGGGGTTCACGTGGTTTCCCCTTAGGCCCTCTCTTCAGAGACCCCAGCCGCTTTCTCCGATATTGTCGACTTTCAAAGGATTGGCCTCGTCGAAGGTCGCGGCGAGTGATGAACACAAAAGACGGTTCGCCACGGGGCTGACGGCGAGTGTAGCAGCGGAGGGGGACAGGGTTTGTTGACTTCCGAATTCTCTTAGCCGCCACCGGCGGCTGCAGATCGGCAAATAATTAGTTTTTCGCCTAGCGATTACGCGGCAGAATAACCGTTTTTCGGGGAAAGGTGACGCGTTTTTGGTCGCTTGGTCTTGTATGAACAATATAAAAAATGCAAACTGGCAATTCTTTCAACATTAAAACCGTTGCACTGCCCCTTTAAGTGCTCTGTCAGCGTTCGGGCGGGACTCGCCATTTAAACTGGTTGAACGCAAGTTTAAACCGAATGTGGACACAGCACTCTTCTCTATTCAGTGCTGCGTGTTGACCAGCGGTAATGGCGTAGAAAACCTCCGCTTCGGCCTTCTTTTCTGAGAATGTCGGTTTCGGCCGCCTTCATTGGCCGCGTACACCAACACAAATCTCTGACTTCACGACAACTGCGGTGACGCTTCCGTCGGCACTGCGCATGCGCAGACACTTCTCCGGGAGTGTGGTTTCTGCACATGCGCAGTCCCGACACCCTGGTGTTGGCGAACGCAGGGCTCGTTTGAAAACAGCCTGTTGGTGCATAAGACGGTGAACGCACCAGTCAGACGCTGGATTTACGTGGCATCGAGATTTGAAGATGATGATTGGGTAGAAGAAGAAAAGAGGAGGGTTGTGTGTGCATGATTGGTCCGCTCAAGATATGACGCGGCTCGTTTCGCGTCCATTCAAAAGTAGCCAGAGACGCGTTTTTCCGGACGGAAGAACGTTGCAGAAAAATGTTTTTCGTTCGAAACACGTTGATGTTCTCACCAATGTCGCTCTTGCAGAAGTGCCTCCTTTGGTTTCTGGCCCGGTGACAGATTGGACAGCGGCCTGAAGAAAAATAGAAACACGGGCTTCCCACCAGGTCCGGCTCGTACGTGTTAGCTAGCCGCACGCAGACTTATACGTAACGCCTAAGGAACGATTTAGTTACGTTTCGAGAAAAGAGATCAGGAATGAGCAGAATACTTGAAAAATGTATTCAAATACATATACGGAATACTTTGGCAAAAATATATTTACTTGCAAATTTCAATACCCTTTTCAGGAAATACATTTTAATTGAAACAAAGTAATAATTAAAGGCCATGCCAAAATAAAAAGTGGAGTTCATATAGACTAAGAAAAAAGTGCTTAGAAAGAATGTTGCAGCTCTAAATATAAAATTTATTTGTCATAACTTTATAGGCAGATACAACAGAGGGAAAACAATGTGCTCCGTGAAGGATTAATTAAGAAGTATTAGTTGATGCATCGAAGCTTTTCAAAAGGAACATGTGGATAATTCGACATGTTTCAACGATGAAATCACACAACCAAAAAGGCATTTAATTATATTTAATACATGAATTCATTGTTCTACGCTTCCTCTTATTCTTCAAATTTAATTCTGCGTAAATTCCAGCAAGTTTCACGTTCTTTGCATATGACTTCCTTCGCGAAGAGTCTTTATAATCCCATCTTATTGCGAAGAGCAGCGCACGAAATTGTATTTGGGGCTTTATTTAATATACATTGTGTTTAAAATACTGAATTGTAAGTAGAGTTGACAAATGCATTGCCCAATATGCAATTAAATAAAAAATACAAAATGCGAAAATATCTAGAATGCTTACGCGTTTGTTTGTATGCACTGCTGCCGAACACAGCTAACCGTGTATTTCTTGTGTCTGTCTGGCCATCATGACTAAGGACGGTAAAGAAGCTAAGGAATCTAGGGAGCTTGCAAAGGCGCTCGACGAGCTTCGTCGCGAATTAAGAGCCGACCTACGAATTTTAAAGGAAAGTACGAAGTTTCGCAGCGACACTTGCGACGAAATTGAGTCGTTTGGAAGCGACGTAAAACAACTAAGGAAGGAAATCCAGGAACTGACAAAGAGAAACTGTGAGCTACAAAATGAAAATAAAATACTGAGTCAGGGGATCGAGGAATTAGAACAATACCAACGCTCAAATAACCGAGAGAAGCAGTCTTGGGTAGCAACGCGTTACTAGTAACGCGTTACTGTTGCTTCGTTACTTTTTTGGTAACTTGTAACTGTAAGGAGTTATTTTTTAAAAATGTAACTTGTAACTGTAATTCTATTACTTTATCCTGAGGTAACGATGAAAGTAACGACGTTACTTTTGTCGTTACTTTCCAGTTTTTCATGAATAATATATCCTTGAACAAGTACAATCTAGCTATTTCTTACACTTTCCAAATTGCTGTTTTGACATTGCTAGTGTCAAGTTGGCCTGGAACAAACTTGTGAACACGTTCTTCCTCGCGATTCACGACCCTAATATTAGCGACGAAATGTTTGGGTGGCGCCCTCCTATGGTTACCTCTCGTGACGTAATTACCCTGTGAACAACAAGTTCGATGGTGTTTCTAATTAGCATGGTGGAATTAAGCTGGAAATCATTGCACTTTTGAACCAATACTGCCAACACCGTCAAAATTGGAGTTCTTACATTCCTCTTATTTCCGTCGATGAGGAATCCTTTGCTAACGTCAAGTCAGCATTCGGCCAATCATAGAGGGCCGACCACCGCGACGCTTTCGATCGGTCACGTCGCCAATAGCCACGTGCAGATGTGATAAAAAAAATCTAGTTATGTTTTGCACGCGTTTGTACTTTGTGACAGAACACTTACATCTTAATATAGCTTAAAGCCCTATCTTTGCCGCGGTTGTTCTTTTTTCTGTGCAAAGGCTTTTTAATCGGGTGAATCAACCGTGAAACTACAATACACACGGAGGGCACTGCAAAGGTTTCGTATTTTGATTAGCGACACTACTTCGCACTGCGCATGTTTCGTATTTCGATTTGCGCCACTACTCCGGCGTGGTGCAATAGTCGAGGCAAAATTTACTGCTGTTTGCGCGGTGTTTGCTTGTTGCTCTGGTTGCGCGGGGCCTGTTCAGCAAAGTCATGGACGTGCTCGCCATCAAACGAGGGAAACTTTCAGCCACTATTTCCAAAAAGCAACTGCTGCTAAGTTTCAATATAAACTAAAAAGCATGCTTTTTAATTTTATGCAATAAAACTTGGTGAGGGGCGTTTTCTAGCGTTTCATAAATTTTTAGCATTCTAGAAAAGTAACTGACAAGTAACGTCGTTACTTTTAAAAGTAACTAAATGTAACGAGTTACTTTTTTGTTGCGGTAACTGTAACGGTAACTTCGCTACTTTTTTACTGAGAGTAACTGTAACGAATCACTTTTTAAAAGTAACTTACCCAAGACTGAAAAGGAGTGCCTGAAGGGGGCAACCCCTATGGCGTCATCAAAATGATTCGTGACGCACTGGAGGAGCCCATTACAAATTCAGACATAGATATCTGCCATAGGGTACCAGCATTTAAACCACGCGAGCAAAACATCATCGTGCGCTTCATACAACGCACGAAGAGAAATGCTGTACTTATGAAGGCAAAAAAAAAAAAAAGAAGCTCACTGCTGCAGCTTTTGGTTACACTTTGACTAGGACGACGACGCCTGTGTTCATCAACCTAACACGACAAAGCAAAGAACTATTGGGGGCAGCTGTCGGTAAAAAAAACAGATCAGGTGAAATTACGTCTGGACTACCGATGGGAAAGTGTTTGCGCGTAAGGATGATGGCTTGAATGTTTTGAAGATTGTGTGTACGGTTGATAATTGGAAAGAATGACGTAGACTTTTAGTTTTTGCACTCGTCATTTGATCCTGTTTCGTCAAATTTATATATGCTCAGTCATGTAAATAATTTAATAGGGAGTAATTAAATGGTAGATACAAAAATTACAAGCCATGTTTTTCTGCAATTCATCTAAATACTAGAAGTATAAGAAGGAAACAAGACGCGCTTGATTTCTTTTTTCATTTCTTCTGCTTGCGCTCTGATGCCTTGTTGTCCACGGAAACATGGTTGCGAGAAGACAAGATACCGCCGAGTTTTGCGAATTACAACTGCGTAAATTTAAACAGAGATAAAAAACGAGGAGGTGGAATTTTGATATATCTAGAGTCTTCTATTTTTTTACTGTTGTGGACGAATATTTTGTAATCGATGCAGATATCGAGTGTCTAGTTGTTCGCATGGAAACAATGTTTGTTGTTGCTGCACATAGACCACCTACGGGAAACGAATCTGTGTTTCTTGATTTCTTTGACAACTTGCTTATTTTTCTTTGTTTAACGAAGCGTTCTCTAATGGTTATGGATGATATAAATATCGACACACTTGCATATGAGTCTCACGCGACAGATTTAAATGACCTCCTTCTGTCCTACGGATGTTCAAACGTGATATCGCTACCAATCAGAATAACAAGTGAGAGTTGCACATCAATAGACGTATGCATAACAAACATTAAACAAACTAAATTGTACCTTGGAGTTTGCACATAGGTCATTAGTGACCACCTGCCCATTTTCTGCCTAAGCCGCCGTCCGAAACAAGGCGAGAAAAAATGACCCAGTTAATTACTGCTACCGAAAAATAAACGAAACAACACTTAACATATTTCACGAACTCGTTAAGAGATTCAATTGGACAGCCGTCTACTTCGAAGAAAGCGCGGCCACTGCTTAGAGCAAGTTTTTAAGTGAATTTAAAAAGTTGTATTATTGTGCATTCCCTATATTACAAGGAAAAACGTCAAAACCCAAACTCCGTAAGCCATGGGTGGATGACGACCTATACAAGAGAACTAAGATGAAAAATAACATGTACAATTGTTTTGTGAGGTCGCGTGATAAAGCGCTGCTGAGTGAATGAAAAAAAAATCTGGAATAAGCTTAGTTCCGACCTTAAAAGGGCAAAATCTGAATACTTTTTGAGCAAATTTGATGATATTTAAAATAATCCTAAGGAACTGTGGGAACCGGTTAATAGCTTAACAAATGAAGACTATGTCCGGCGTGGTGTGAATAACATAACTATAAACGCTAGAAATATAGTTGGTGAGGAACTTGCAAACACCCTGAATGAGCATTTAATAAACGTGGGTGCTCCGCGAGAAAGGGAAGGCGACAGCAAAAGCAGTACCACAAATAAAACTACAAATATCTCAAGCCCTATAATGCTCGAGCCTACTTCCCCATGCGAAGTTAGTAATTTGATAAAAAAAAATAAAAAGACAAGTGTACCGGCTGGGGCTGACGAAATAAAAGCCTTGCCAGTTAAAATGGTGTCAAATATAATAAGCCCAGTCCTGGCACATATTATAAACAACATGTTGCAAACAGGAATATATCCAGACGAACTCAAAGTAGCAAGAGTTAGTGCAGTGCATAAAGGGGGCAACAATAATGACCTGGAAAAATACCGACCAATATCTGTTTTCCCATTATTCTCAAAAATATTTCAAAGCGTGATAAACGTTAGATTGCAAAGGCTTTCTTTTTCTCAAAATACAACGTAATCTCTACGTCCCAATAGGGTTTTCAAAGGGACAAATCGAACGAACTTGGTCTTACGAATATAAAAGACAGAATTATAACCAACATCGAAAATAAACTATATACACTCGGGTTATTTCTAGATTTGAGCAAGGCCTTTGATTCGATACAACACAATATTTTACTGTCAAAACTTCAGACTTGTGGTGTACGTGGCGTAGCGTTTGAACTAATCAAGTCCTACCTCCGAAATCGTAAACAGTTTGTACATGTCAATAACGCCAATTCTCAGCAATTGGAAATAAAACATGGAGTGCCCCAGGGCTCGATGCTGGGCCCACTACTTTTTCTCATATATATAAATGATATAACAGACATCCCAGATTCCCCACATATGGTGATGTACGCTGACGATACTAATGTTTTCGTCTGCAGCAATACAAAAGTGTTCTTAAAACAACAGGCAAATTATTATCTTCAAAAACTTTCAGGATGGCTGGAAACAAACACGCTTAAACTAAATGTGAACCTAACAAAGTACATTATATTTGGACCTATCAATAAGCACGACACTAGTGTAATAAATCTGCAATATAATAGCACCCCCTATATCAGGTTACTGAACCAAAGTTTCTTGGCGTCCGGTTTCATGAAACAATTACTTGGAACACTCACGTGAACAAATTAAAAGGGGACCTATCGAGAACACTAGGCTGTATATATAAAATAGCAAATATATTACCAAAGTGGCTTATCAAAAACTTATATTACTCTTTGTTTTACTGAAAACTTTGTTATGGAATTATGGCATGGTGGGACAACTATTTCCACAAATTATAGCAAGTTAATTATTCTCCAAAAAAAGGTTTTGCGCGTGTTAGAAAACTACGAAGGAAATGTTCGTGATTTTTACAGCAGTCTATATTTTACAAAGAATAGCATGCTTAAAGCAAATCAGATTTATTAGTTTAAACTTCTGCAGACAATATATAAAGAAAAACTTCCATCAAATGAATGAAGTGCCATCGCAACCTTATCTTCTTAGAAACGCCAAACACAAGACTCCTAAGGACAGGAGAAATTATGGGAAACAAAAACAAAATTATCAGGTTCCTACATTACTAAGCATTTTTGAAGGGCGTACTGATTTTGCAGTATCATTTAATAAATATAAAAGTAACATCAGACACACCCTTGTACACAACTATATATATTACGCGTAGTAACAAGGTGTTTAACTGGGCGAGTTGGAAAAAGTTTGATATGGTGGTGTAACAGCTTCAAAAAACAAGTAGAAATTGTTTCGTTTTTGCGCCTACCAGTGCTGCAATGACAAATGTGTTTGTTACATGGTTGTAAATTTTTGTGTACATATTTTTATGATTGTTTCGCTCCTTTGATCATTTTGTGATTATACGTCAGTGATTACGAATCAATGTCGTATGAATGATAGTCATTTTTGTGTGGCATTATCTAGCTAGGTTTAGAATTTTAAAACGTTTTGTGAATTGTTTTCTTATTTCTTGTAATAGTATCTTGATCTGAGGACAGATTAATCATTGTTTTTATTTGTGAAATAATTTCTACGATTTTGTGTAAAAAGTGTGCATGTTTTCTGCTATGTAGGTATATATATCTTGCTTACTTTATTTACTTCTATATGGCAACTAATGCAAGTAGTGCGTAATGAACTGGGGGTAGAGGCCCAGTCAGGCAGAAATGCCTTTTTTCTCTACCTCCCTACCGGGCATGGCCTGTCAGAAACCAGAATAAACTTCAAACTTCAAATACTAGTATTTGAAATACTGTCCTTTCCTGGACGCAATGAATAAGCGACCATTTTTGACAGAGTTACAATTGACGGTATTGAGCTTTTCACCCCAGTTTGTGCCTGTGACTCACGGCAAAAAGGCGCCAACAAGTATATGACAAAACAGATGTCCATGAGTGCGTTAAACATCTAGGTATTATTAATGACTCAAAATATTGGAAGGCGGCTACCGCTTCAAAAAAAGGGTTCATGCAGAGTAACGAGAAAGCCGCTAGTTACTTCTGAGCTGACGTAATAACTTCTTTTTGAATCCCAGGAACTAGAGTAACGTAACTGTCTAAAGCGAGGACCAAGTAACATTATTCAGTTAGTTTTTTTCAGTAACACGAATACGTTTACACATACAATGACTAAAGGCTACTTATAAGAAAGAGATTGACATTTTTTTTCTATTTTTTACTAAGTGTGCGACTGTGCGACTGGAACAAGAGAAATACGTACTTGAGGTCGTCCAAGGTAAAACACAAGATAATTAGCAAAACACATTTTCTTATAATGTCATGGCGCGTCCGAAGCTTTAAAGTAGGACAAAATATTCCCATAAAATAAACAAAATGCCAGTAACGTTTACCTTTCTTTGGTTTCACCTTCTTCGTTCTGCGTTTCGTTTCTGAAAAAAAAAAAAAAAAAAAAAAGAGGAAGATGTAATCATAAGTAAAACATTTGGAGGTTTAGTTTGCTACACTCCGTTCATCCTAAAGGGACCATGAAATGATTTTTCAGCTGTTTGCAAATTAAGAACCCAATTAATCTTCCAAGTTCATAAACCCGGAGCAAAAATCCCCTTCCCGTATTACTGCCTCCGATTTTGCGCACAAAAAACAAAAAAAAGAAGATATGAAAGCTTACATCTGCTTTTTCTTTCGATTCGACGAGACTCGGCCACCAACATGTGAAATCAGCGACTGTGACGTAACGCATGTCTTTCTGCCGGAAACGGAAGCTCCCCAGCCGAGCGAGGGAGCCGCGTTCGACACGAGGGCCGTGTTCCAAAATTTACTCGATCTTGTAAGGGTTTTGTACCCTTGGCGTTCTAAAACCTACCCGTGTCCAGCGTTTTTCTAATCTGTGTTATCACGTGACATGACCCGCCGGAGTAACTCGGATCAATTTGGGTAAGATTTGGAACACAGCCATGCACTGCGTCTCACGGACGTATGCGCTCGACAGCGATTAATCCACCGACGAATATTTAGATTCACCGTTCGCGGCAAATGAGTTCCCTCTCGAAAGTTGCGTTTGACACTTGCGAATGACAAGTCGTATGGCGTGCTCAAAAAGCAGGGTGGAAGTTGGGATTTGTCGCACCGGCGCCCAAGCATGTCACGACCACTTGATTTCTCAATTCGCTTTTGAGCTGAGGATTACAGACAGCTAAGGAGGAACAAGTTAAAATATCGTTTATGGACCCTTTATAAAGGGGCGATGAAATAAATTTCGATCTGGGAAAAAGTTTTTTACATTGGAATCTTGCTAATCCCATGTCGTTTTGTTGGGCCAAAAGAAAGAGGGTAGAAAGACAAAAACATGCAATTTGGAACGAAAATTAAAAAAAAAAGTATATAGCGGATTATTTCCTATTTTCTTTCCTTTGAAGGCCCTCCGCCTTTTCAATGTCATACATCCGCTGTACGCAAAAGACATCAGTCGGCGCCAGCAAGCGCACTAGACACAAGCACTGGGTCACTCGGACCTAAGCGCTTGTCAGCAATCAATCCGTCGACGGATGCGCGTTCGTGGCCAATGAGTGCCGTGACGGCACTTACCATCATTATTGAATTACAAACTCCACGGTGTGCTTAAAAAGCGCGGTGGACGCTAGGAGTCATCGCAACGGTGCCCAAGCACGTAGCGACCACGTGATTTCTCGTCTTTGTTTGGAGTTGAGGAGGGAAGCTAAGGAGGAAGAAGCTGAAAATCAGTTCATGGCCCCCTTTAAGGGTGAACAGAGTATTAGCGACGTGCGCGGCCAAAAGTTTCGCTGTGGTCAGCTTTCCACGATTGGCCAAAGCATGGGCATATGAGCACTGCCAGATTGTCAACTTTGACGGTGTTAGTTTCGGATTGCGTATGGCTCCTAGCTTCTACTGTGCTTTTTTCAACACACCATCGATCTCGTCGTCTTCCCCGATGGTAAGTAGCCAGAATAGCAACTGGTGACTTCACGGCGAGGCAAATCCCAGTCGTGACGTCACGGAGGGAAACCATAAGAGGGTGCCACCGAAATATCTCGGCGCTAATAGGGAGGATTCACTGGACGCCATATTTGTGGGTGTTGTTTAGAGCGTATGCTCAGAACGAGCTCGCATCAATAGGCTGCTAAATCCGGCACTCTTGATGGTGCGGAATGCACGTTGCAAAAGAGCTGTGGAAGCTCGCCATCAGCACGCGCTCAGCATGTGGACACACAGCTATGGCCGCCAGTAAATACTCCCTATAGTTAGCTTCACGTTCTGAGGATCACAAAATGGTATCTAAAATCTAACGCGAAAAAGAATAGTGGAGAATCATGGAGGCGTCAACTGAACGTATTATTTACCCCCGCGCTTTCGACACTTGTTAGATCGATAATTATGTATATACAGGGTGTCACAAAAGAAAATTTACACGTTTTTTTTTACCGCAAAAATAAACTAGGCATCGCCGAACGCTCATTCTCCGTCCAAAGGTAAAGCTAGAGGTCACAAGATGCCAAAGTTTCAGCCCGGTCCGATACCTTATTCAAAAGTTATAAGTTATTTTCTGAAAAGTTCAATGGGAAAATGGCGGCCGACGGAGTTTTCGTATACATGGAACTCTAAGGCACCAGAAACTGGAAACGGGCAAAAATGGGCTTCATTTTCCCATTGAAACTTTCAGAAAATCACTTATAACTTATGATTAAGTTATCGGGTCGGGCTGAAACTTTGGCACCTGGTTGTGACATCTAGAGCTACCTTCGGACGAAGAATGAGCGTTCGGCAATGACTAGTTTATTTTTGCGGTAAAAAAAAAAAAAAGCTATAAATTTTCTTTTGTAACACTCTGTATATATAGATAGATCGATATTTGATGGCAATCAGTGGGGGAACAGGAGCGGTGACAGATGCTATAGTAATTGACAGAGCGAGAACGCCCAGCTCCAGCCTTCCACCGTGCTATCACTGCGCACGCGCGATCAAGTCACGCGATACGCCGAACCGTTGTCGAAGGTAGGAAGCTAGCACTGGAGGTGGGACAACTAAAGCTCCTCTTTGCCGTTGTCACCTTATGAGTGAATTATTGTCACAAATGAAGGTGACGAGAGGATGAACAGTGAACTAAAAATAAACGTTAATTGGCGAAGTTCTGCCAAATAAAATAAAGAACGAGCTTCAAGGCAGCAGAAATGCGGGCGGCGATTTGGCGGCGTAATAGCAAGCGAGAGCGAGACTTATGCCTCGTTCACACTTGGGAATCGGCGGCCGGATCCGCGAGAATTCTGACGCCCGGTGATGAAAGCAGGCAGAATTTCCGGCGGAAAGCAAGAACGCTCTGGGACCAATATTGAACGCCGGAAAAAAGTTTTCTCTCGCCGCTAGCCAATCAGAACGCACGGGGGAAGTGGCGCTTGCTGACGTCAGATCCCCGCTGACGAGCTGGTGACGATGGCGACGAGACGCACGCGGGCGAGGAGGAGGTTCGGGAGCTTTGTTCAGCTCTCGTCTGTTCGGGAAACTGCGAGACGCTCGCACCGCGCACTTCGCAGGCGGCAACGAATGTGGACCGCCCGATTTTTTTTCGGCGAGCGAATTCAGTCGGCGGTGGGTGCGTATTTCGCAAGTGTGAACGAGCCATTACTCGACAAGGTCGCGGGCCGCTCCTTATCTAGTGTGCGTCGGCATCGCGAAAATTCGGTCGAGAAGGTTCGGGCATATAGCGTTCGGGATGAGAATGAACAGGCACTTTCAAAAACAAGAAACTAGGGCGAAAATATAGAAATGATGCGCCGAGTAAAAATAAACGCGAATCTTCTAGAATTCCGTGACTGGCGCTGCTTGCTGAGCCCTGCGCGCGGCATTGATATGTCAGAATCAACCAAGCAAAAACGGAGCGCACTCGTGTTTTACGAAGCTGTTCGTCATTGTGATAATGTCATCGTAATCTATCTGTTTCTTTATTAAAAACTACGAAATCTCCCCAACCTAGATGATGGTGCTCGAGACAAGCAAGGCTCGCTACGTGCGCGTGACGATTTTTTTAATCACGTTCAGAGATAGCTCTAAAATTTAAAATGCATACTCCTTACATACTGGGTTACAGTAACAAGCTCCACTTGAAATTGATCGCAAATACCATTTATGTTCACGACGGCGTTTAAGTTTACCGCGAATTTACGGCTAGTTCTTTCCTGCTTTTGAGCGCAAAATTTTTAAGTCATCTACGCGAGAGGAAGATACAGCGTTTGTGCATCGACAGCACTCTAGGAAATTTTTGAAAAATTAAATATTTAACAAAATTGAACATTTAATGCACTTCTGTTTTCTTCTGACAATGAAGCAGAAGGAAACAAAAAGTAGAATCTAAATATATTAGTGAAACGTAGCAGCCACACTTACCTACCAACTCCAATAATGCGTGGATCGCAGCATTTAATGGCCGATTTACACGACAAACTGATCCGCGGACGGATTGATGACGTGACGTATGTCCGCGGTTCGTCCGTCTCTCCAGTGCATTCATACGAGGGACACGACGAGCAGACGGCAACAAGGGCAGACCGAACCTGTTCGCCATTTAACTTTGCCGCGAAACTTCAACCGTTGTCGAAGAGAGGAATCGACGTTTGCTACCGCGACAAAGAATCGTACGCCGCTATTACGCACGGATCGAGACAAAACACCGGGATAGGCTTGGCGCGAAGCGCCACTAGCTTTACTAACCCAAGGCGTGACAGCGACACAGGCACGACCCTGCCCGAGAAGGCTTCGCCGTAGAACCGACGAAGATCTAGGCTCGCGGAGGGGCGTTTGGAGACTCCTTCACGCTCTCCCCGCTCGTGCATCACACTAAACTACACCACAGCCACATGAAAGGTCTTGCTCGATAAAAGGCTGACTGGACGTGTAAGAATCATTGTGGCGTGCTACACGGATTTCGACGAAAGCGTCTTGACACGTACCCGGAGGAGAACCGAAACCTGCGTCGCGTCAGCCGGACAAAGTTTCTGCAGTTTCTTTCACTCGTGGAACCAAGAATCGCGCTCCAACATTGAACCAGTGAACGCACAGAGCCCAATGATGCGCAATTTTTGTTTTTGGGGGCCCCCCCCCACACTTGACAGGCCTGGATCACACCGGTTAACGAGGCACGGGCCAGGGAGACGCTACTTCTCCTATGGGAGTTCGCGCGCTCGACAGGAGTACACCGCCGAATGTAAACTTTTCCTACCTATGTTTCCCTTCTCCTAATGAGGCCATGGTACCACCCTTATGAAAATAAGGTTAATCATCATCACCATTTGTCGAATAACAACAAAAAAAACGAGAAAACATTGTACCGTTGCCATAGGAAACGCTTTTCACGTCAATCTCCCGCCAAAAATCCGCGAGTGAAAAGGCGGTCGACTTTATGAGAGCGCGCATCCGTGAACGAGGAGCGGATCGCAGGAATCGGTAACGTGACGATCACGTGGTACGCGGTCGGCGGACGAAAATCGCGATTCGGTCGATTGTGTGAGTCGGGCACAAGGAGCGGTTGTTTCACTCTATTTCGAAGATATTAAACATTCGTTTCAGGCAGCAAACAAAAATATCTCGTTTATTAATTTCCGCCGCCAAACTTAGTGGGGAAATTTACGTCATTGTGCCGTCGTGGTGTCGCGCTATACCCTGACGTTAGGTGACGTAAATTTCCCGCTAAGTCTAGTGGGAAAATGACCAAATGGTCCGCGGACAAAATTTATACAATTATTGGTCTCTGTTAAAAAAGGGCTGTAGGTACACCTAAGCACTTCTTATGAGTTGCGAATGCGAAAGCATGAATGTCGTTCTTCGCGCCGCGGCCGCTTCTGATCCTCTCGGCGCGGGCACGCAGCGCCATGGGGTGGCGCTAATTGGAACTGACGCGCGACGGCTTCATATCACTGCCGTTTTGCGTGGCTTTCTGCGCGGTTTCAAAGCTGGCAGGCCTCAGTTCGCGGCTTCGGGAATTTATCTGCCGTTTGGCGAGCTGATGGTGTCAGCTCGCTCCATGAGACAGTTAATGCTTTCGCATTAAAAAATAAAGAAATGTTTAAGAGCCATTATGGGCTTCGTTAGTCTTCGTACCTTCATTGCCATGGAATGTGCCACCGCCGAAGTCCTTTCTGTCCGGGACCTCAATGACGTCATTTCCTGGCCGTGACGGCAAAGCCTCGGCATACCGTCCGGGCTGGTAGACGGAGAGCGGTATTCGGTTGTCGCTAGGTGAGGACACCGACAACTGCGCCCTTCGGAAGAATTCACTGGACGGCGGGCGGGTCCATGCCACGTCACCATCCCGGAGTACGGCGACATCGGTATTGGTGAGGTCAGTGGTGACGTCGCGGTGACCACCGCCCTCCTTAGGGATCCAGTACTCGTACCGGATGTTTGGGCTGCCCTTTTCGACCAGGTATACCTGAGTAAAATGCAAACAGCAGCATGAAAGAGGAAATAAACGTTTTTTTCCGTGAAACATATAAAGGCGCGCTGACACCGCTAACGCAATATAGAAAAGACAGAGCGCACACACAGGAGTCAAAGAAAGAATAAAAACACTTAGGGACAAGGACAAACAAGAACTGTGCTGTCTGTCCGTGCCCCTAAGTGTTTTTATTCTTTCTTTGACTCCTGTATTTTCACCAACACGCTCTTTCATCTTTGTCGAACACACAGTTTGAGACACGTTTTTTTCGTCGTATGGCAGTCATGTCACTAACAGTACGATAGAGCCCAAACCAAAAAGAAAGATATGCTGGGTTGATGAGCCGACAGAGGGGCGGTGACCTTTCCCGGTTGCGATGCTCCTCCTCGCCCTTTCCTACGTCACATGCGAGATGACTGGTGACTACCGTAATCTCTACCTGAGTTTGTGTAGAAAAGATGCCGCCGGGAAGCGCTTGAGAAAAGCAGTGCTGTCAACCCAAGGAATTGTCCCCTATATCTAGGGATTTTTGACATTTTTCAGGGGAAAATATAAACTTGTTAAAATCTGAGAATTTTTTTTTTTTCCCAGGGAAGGTGGTAATTTGTTTTCTGTAAAAAAATGCGACAAAATGCAAATAGTTTTTTTTTTTTGTAACATACCCCAAATGTTTTTTTTTTTTTTTCTTTGAGAATTTGATATTTTCACAGAAGGTTTAAAGGAATGATTGGAACACCAAGGCGGCGTGCTGGGGTTTACGTGCTTCTTGTTTGTAGAAAAAAGGGCATGCACAAATGAAAAAGGATATGTACACAGCGTAAACATGTGTTCATGTTTTTGAAATCGAGTACATTTGGAATGTACATTATATTACATATACGTATATGACGCAGTTCAGTTCAATAAACTTTAGTTGCGAGTCAGTGCTGTGTCTCTGACGATCTTCATGTGGACCCTGGCCCTTTGACCTGTTTTGAATTTTCAAGTTTTCAAACATTTGTAAGCATTGCCATAATTTTAGACTAACCCCCGAGACTGGGGAAAACACGAAGGATACCACAACACTGTGTGCTGTGTTGCCCTTCGTCTTTTTCCCAGTCTCGTGGGTTTGTCTCAAATTATCTAAAACCTTCACCAGCTCGTTTGCGCCGTAAATTTTGTTCGGCAAGTGTTGCCCAATTTTTTTAGCCGCCTTCTTGTTTAGAAGGTCTGGTAGAAAGCTCTGCGCACTTAAAAAAAAAAAAAAAAAAACTTTAATAAAATGCCAGCTAGTAAATTTTGCCTTAAGCGTTATGACTTCTTTCAGTTCTTTGTGAAATAAACTATATATTTGAAAGCTCCGTATAGTTTAGTACGAGTAATTTTCTAATATATACTACAAGCATAAATATTATCTAATTTAAAAATTATAATGGTCCCAGCAAAAGAAAATTACTTTGTCACTGATCTGCCGACTTCCATATTCAAGCCATGGTGATAATTTCAATTTTTGCGTGAACAAAGCCATTTTTTAGAAATCTAGGAAGTTTTCGGAAAAAAATTTGGGGAAGAAATGGTCTCGGTGTTTGGCAGCACTGAAGGGTGGTTTGCCTCGTGGGGCACTTGGGGACAGTTATTGGCTTTTGGCTGACCACTCCGACAGCATCTACTCGGAAACATCGGGATAGATGGACGCGACCTTTCAGCAGTCCTCGGCTTTCCCGAAGTACGGGGCGGGCATGCCCTTCCGTCGAACCTGGGTCAAATTCTGTGTTTTGGACGTTTGCGAATCGCCACTTTCCTGCACGTAGCATAATACTGGTCATAAGAAAAGCTGTCTGCACAGATGTTCCAAGCATACATATGTATGAAGCACACGTACTTCGAACATGCGTGAGTTGTGTCCCTAACTTTGTTACCATGCCTAGCGAATACCGCGTCTTTTGTTGGATGTGTGAGCTGGGTGACTGCGGCTAAAAGGGGCGATGCAACAATTTTTGTACTTTGCGCAAATACCACTTAGAAGAAATCCCTGACTTTAATGACCTATGAAACACGCGTTCGTTTTTCGCCCCACGCAATAGATGTCCCAAAAAAAAAATTAAAGAAAAACGAGCAGCGTTCATTCCCTCAACTCGCAGGCAGAACAAGCGGCCACGTGATCTGGAGCCGATTATATGCCGCCAATGTTGATCATAGGCATGCGCTGGAGTTGGCAAAGCACAGGACACGCGCCGAGTTCCAGACATTGTTATGGCTCGGCTATTGTCGTCGTTGCTGCGATTGGACACGGGCCACTATTTCAGTGTTTCTCGAGCTAGTAATTATCACGAGCCCAAATCGAGTGCGCACGCAATGCTCGGGTCCAATCTATGAACCGCATTCAAATATCGTCATTGGGGTGTGCTGCGATCCCCACGTTACGTCATCACATTTTGCAAAGGAGAGATTAAATAAAAATGGTCGCTATTTGTCCTTGAAATTACATTACAACAAAGAAGTTTCTTGGCCAGTGGCGTTGCGTGCGAGTATCCTTGAGTCCCACTAGTGCCAGTAAGCTCGTGTAAAGTGAAAAACATTCCAATTGAGCATCGTTGCACCGCTCCTTTAAATACTCGAGATTTGATGGTGGCTTCAAATTTCACATACACGCTGTGGGACGAGGAACACCTTGACGCATCCATTTTTGCCTCCTTAATAAAACAGCTTTTTGACTTGCTCTAGCAGGCTGGAGTTCAGGAAGCGAACAGAAGGTATTCACTGGATGCCCTATTTGAGGGGATGTTTGGAGCGCATGCTCAGAACGAGCTCACATTCATAGCCTGCTAAAACCGGCGATCTTGATGGTGCGAAATGCACGTTACAAAAGAACCGTGGAAGCTCGCTGACAGCACGCGCTCATCAGTTGCGCACAGAGCTATTGCCGTCAGTTAATACTCCCTCTACCCCGTCTCAGGAGTTGCGCGCAGCAAAGGCAAAGGCATAGGCGCGGGCACATGGCTTTTAGGATTACTTTCCTTCCGCGAGTGCTCGTGAAAGGAAAGCAAATCTGAAAGGCAAGCACTCGCGCCTGTGCATTTGCTGCACGCAACTCCTGAGACAGAGTATATACGGTATATGATGGTGTTTGCTGTGTGTGTGCGTAGCCCCAGAATAGTGACAGTTGCTCAGTGCCGAAGGGCGAACGTACTACTGGGCAAAGATCATCGGTTGTTCGCCGTATAATCGCTTCGTGGGAGGAAGGTAAAGTATTTTTCGGCTGTTCGCCGCATTTGTGGTTCCTGAAGAGTAACTAAAGAGCTCAGAAAAAATTAGATTTAGTTAGAAGCGGCTGGATGGATTGTAATGGCTATACCCTTTGTAACGGGTGGCAACTTGCGCCACCTAGCCTAACATTTCGTCATCCCTTCTTTCTTAAATTTGTACAAAATTTGTTCCTAACCACCCTCCCCCCTTTTAAAGTGTTCCCATTGCTTATTTTTATCTGTATTTTTACCTTTCCCTAGATTTTTTCCACCGATATTTCCATCTACACTTAGTTACAGCAATCCTTTCCCTATTCACTCGTCCATCCATGTCTGCAAATGTCAGTGCCCCTTCAAATCCGTAGTTATCACCCCCAAGAGGGTGAGTAAAAGCCCCATACACCCTCAAATTACATGTTCTATAGTTTCCCTTTCGGGGTTGCATTGTCTATTTCTGGAATTTAACCATGTATGTTTTCGTTCTTGGCAACCAAATTCTAGCTTCAAAAGGCTTTCTGGAGCCTTTTTATGTCTTTTGAACTCGGTTATTGAACTATTATTAGGCAGAATTACGCGTAAACATCCTTTATTAGCAACAAACTAAAATAAAAGTGAACGTCAAGGCAGGGAATCACTCTGCCATCTGTTATCGGTTAAAGGCGTCAGAACGTCATTGTGGGCATCTCTGAGACATCTGAGGCACCGCTCAATAAAATCATCAAAGCCCGTGCATCAACATTTTGGAGTCCTGCACAGTGAGGTCGAGAGTAGACACAGATCGAACATGAGTTCTACGGCAGCGCTTGATGGTACCTCGTGACCAATCAATGCGTCAGAGGACGCTCGGCGTTGGGCTCGGGCCCAAATGCCGAGTTGGTTCCATCCGAGTCTGATGGCGTTACGTGGGGACAGAATGGCCTGTTCACAGGTTTCGATTTTTTAGGTGGTGTTGGCTGTGAGGCAAGCAAGGCTCATCCGACACAGCCGACGCCCTCACTTTCGTTAGCCTTCCTCTTCCTCCCTTTTGTTCCTGCACTCGACCAACGCCTCCTCGATAAAAAAAAACAAAAATTGCGTTGTGTGTATGTCTATACAGCCTCGAACTCAGTCTGCCTCAACGGGCGACTTGTCTCCCATCTTTAGATGAACAATTTAGCCAGTGCAGTACAACCGCTAGTTTGTGGTTTTTGACGTGCACCACGCAGTAGTGATACACGACCGCACGCCAATACGATGCTCATCCAGATCGAAACGGGCAGGGGTGGGGATCGAACCCAGGATCCTCGGGTTCTGCAGCGCAAGCTTCCGCTCCATGTACTCCGAGTTGGTGCGCGCTAGATGACTCGGCCACCGATCCCTCGCCTCCTTGGTAGAAAAGCTGGGGGGGCGGCAGTGATTCGTGCGTCACGTGCAATAGGCTTGCGCAAGGAGGAAGAGGAGACACTGGCGTGTATTGAAAATCGAGAGCCCTACACGAGGCGCACAATGAGCACGAGCCCAGCGCCAGCATTTGGCTGGAATTTGAGTCACTTGACCGGAGGAGCACGATGAAAGAAAGGAGGTAGGCGTCTGAAACAAGACCAGCCGAGGCGGCAAATGTTTGCTCGGGCTTTGCGCATTTCCCGAAAAGAGCACTGCCGGTTTTGGGCCTCCGACTGGGTCTCATCGGCCCATTACACAATGTGCCACCTAACAGCGCTCGTCGAAAATGAGAGCGAATCTTCGCCACGCTAGCTCCGAGGCCGAGGCGGTGCCGTTCAGACAACTCTTTCCCTCCCTCTTCTATTGTACCCGGCGGCAGAGACATCCAAGATGGGTAATCCAATACCACTTGGAAGACAAGGCCTGCGGATGACTTCATAGTTAGTAGATCCACTACCCGTCCTAAGCAGCAAACAAGCTGAAGCTCAACAATAGTCGCTGACAAGTTGAAAACGACAACGAGGAACTTCAGTGGTTCCGCCTCTAGCGTGAGCTTCCCATCTTACACAACGCCTTGGCGTCTTGAACCATAGCCTCCTCTATACTCACAAAGCCTGGCAGTGAGCCATAGAGTGTCCGATCGCAGATTTGGAGCTTGAGGATCTGGTAGCGCGGAGCATCAAAGAGCTATTTCTCGAGGAACCTGAACGTAAGTGCAAAGCTTCTGCAGCGGCTAGAACCCGAAACATACTTGCTCGCTCGGGAGAAGTGCTTCGGCGTCTCGCCGCATCGGGGCGCAAGTCAAGTGGCTCTCGTCTCATTCGTTGTCTGCCGCTCCACCTTTTTCATTTTGGCGGCTGCTTCTCGTGGCGATGTGCCAGGCTTTGTCAGCATATAGGAGGATATGCTCGTACGCATGGAAAACGCGCCCGCAGGAGTAGCACGGGGGTACGTATGGAGCGCGTGTTGGACGTGAAGCGCTGAAAAAAAAACACTCCCTGCCGTTCTCACTTTGTCAGCGACTATGCTGATGACGTTGTGGAAGGAGGAGGCACGAGCCTCGCATTATAGGTGGTACTGAGTAATCACATGTGCACGAAAGGACTCACAGCAAGCGTGACCGGCGACCTCGTGGCGCCTTTCGAGGATAGAGTCTCGCTTCCGTTGAGCTGCGTCTTGTGCACGAACAGCGCGCCTCCAGCTGAGATAATATCCTCGGGACTTGTCCGGGCCTTTTGCTGAACCGGGACAGCGGTCTTGTTGGTACCCGCGGGATAGGGCCATCGGTCCCAGAGTGCTGCGCACAGGAAGCGACAAGCTGTAGAACTAGAGGTGGGACCCCACTGCCCAGTGATAGTAGACTTAGAGTGAGTAGGTGGGGGGTGTACAGTCTCCGACATCATAAAAGACCCATTGGACGGGGCAGTGCCAGCCATGAGAAATAATACAAAATCTTCATTGCATCACTAAACGCCAATGACTCCGAGCTTTGAAAAAAAAAAGGTATAAAAACAAACGAACACGGTAGAACCCTGCCGAGGCAAACACGTTTTATAACACAGGTGTCGCTGCTCTTCACACTTTCATCGACACTCTCAGGCGAGAGTGTGGCCTGTCCCTCGTCAAGGCCACCGACACACGCACTCAACCTAGATTCGTCAAGGTAAAGGGAGTCTCCTGCTGACTCATCGACGATATGGTTCTACATTGTAAAGAGCTACGCGATGGTGCTACGACGGACGCTTCCGTTTCCAACGACGGGCTACCTACAAAAGGACCATCTTCCAACGGAAGCTTCGGGGCACGACACAGTCCTGCCGACACTAACACGCTTCATAAAACAAGCCAGTTATTTGGAAAATGATAAATACAAACGTCCCAATACCATATTGCTCTTAAAAGTGTCGTGTCCCATCCACAAAAAGCGCTTGCTAACCCTTTGTTTAACCTTGCTCTTTCTGCATTCCCTTGTTTACTTTTGGTATCTCAAGATAGCTGCCTTCTTTTCCTCGACGCATTAGTATTGCTTTCTTGGGATGTAAAACCTAATCCTGGCCCTACTAGTACGGAAAAATTGGGTATACCTGTAAAAAAACCTTGAGTCAACGAATGCCAAATACCCCCCCCCCCCCCCCCCCCCCGCCCCAAAAAGAAAGAACCGCTATAAACTTTGCGATATCACTACAGGAATTGACGAACTCAAGCAGTAGGTGACAATTCTAGAAAAACAAGTGGAAAAATTAATGGCATTAAAGCATGGCTTGCTGTTGTTGAATCTACTATGAATGACGTTCTCGAAGATATTGGCTACTCGCGCGATAAAATATTTGCCTTAGACTCGAGAATCGACGACCTTAACAACAGAATGAGAAGGGACAACTTTCTATTTAGGGGCGTTCCCCCAAAACAAAATGAAATATGGGACGAAATAGCTAACTGCGTAAAATAATTCATAAAACGAAACCTTGGTGTAGAAGCTGGAGAGATTGAACGCGTACATTGCGTTGGCCGCAGGCGTGGTGAGTCAGCGCGACCTATCGTGGTTCGGTTCCTGGACTACCGCAGGAGACAAAACGTGTTAAAAAATTACCACAAACTGAAACGTTTACTCGCTCTGAGTGTGTGCATCGCCGAAGACTTTACTTCTATGGTTGGCCACCACCGTGACAAACTTTGAGAGCTTAGCGCGCAGTTGAGGGCAGAAAAACGTTAAAGTGAAACTCGTTTATAACAAGCTTTATGCTGGCGGAAAGCAGTACATGTACTGTCCTAAAACGGATGACGTTATTTTGCTTAAGAATGTTTAAGCCCAGGGTTCAAAGACGATTCGACAAATCTAAAAAAGCACGCAGAAATATTTGTGTTCATCTCTTGGGACTTGTCGCAAAACTTTTGTAGTCTTTTGCCTAAGCAAGATCTTGTCTTATCAGTTATGAAATGATTCAGGCGCCAAAATGCTTTTGTAACCGAAATATGGCTTCACCCTAAAATAAGCGATGGCGAAGTACACTTTAGTCATTTCTATAGTTTTGTAAACATCGTGCGCATTCCCGTGGTGGTGTTCTCCCATGGCCAGCAACAAAACTTTTGATGCATTTGATGAGCACGCTTGGGGCATTGTTCATTATTTGTTATTGTTGATTGTTGGCGCCTGTTACCGCCCTCCTGGCCGTGAGAGTGCTTTTGTTGAAAAGGTGTATACTTGCATGAAGCACATTTCTTCTTGATTTTCTGGCGGGACCGTTCTTGGCAGTAATTTTTATTATCGGTGTGTTGATTGGAAATAATAGCGGCGATTTTAATTATCCGTGTATTGATTCGAAAGGAGCGACAATTTTGCCATCATGTGTGACTCCAGAAGAAGTCTCGATATTTATTTACGCAATGAATAGATGCGGCCAATCTCAAATAGTTCAAGAACCTACACGAAAAAAATATATTGGGATCTTGTCTTCACCCCGAGCGTTGACGATGTGAGATCGGTTCGTAATCTTGATAAAATAGGCGATTATAACATAGTCCTGGTTGAAATGTTCCTTCCAACAGTAAGTAAAAATATGACCCCTAAAAGTTTTAATGCTCGTAACAAAGTTAATAAAACTTCCTTCTATCAGTTTCTTAAACTGTTTGATTCGAAATACGAGCTAAACTTAAAAGAACTGTCGAGTTTACTTAGTTAGATAAAAATTGATGTCAGACTTTGTACTAATGCTGATCAACCCTGGTTTACGAATGTATCTAGAAAATTGAATACTAAAAATATACGTCTTTTTGCTAGAGCTAAAAGTCTAATTACCGGATTGATTTTCAAAAAAAAAATATTGAATTTGTTTAAGACCATTGAAATGCAGCATGAGGAAAGCAAAAAACAAATTTTACGAGCAATATCTTCATAACTTATTATATCCAATACAGTGAACCCGTTTATAACGAACCCACTTACAGCGAATTATTGTCAATATTGAACTCACGGAAAATTTAAATAAAAATGCATGTAAAATCTACTTTTTATAACGAACAGCATATTGGCCATATTGAACTTTTCCCCCGGGGAAGGCTTCCAAAAACGCGGAAACAGTCGTCTTCTAGAGTTTCCCTTCCTCCCTCTCTTCTCTCCCCCCAGAAAAAAAAAAGAAAGCGGGAAAGAAAGAAAATTTCAAAAGCTGAAGTTGCAAACAAGGTTGAGCGAAGAGAAGCGATTCAGAAGGGGAGAAAGCTTAAAAATACCCTCTGCACGCAAGCACAGAAAAAAAAAAAAAAAAAAAAAAAACACTTTTAGTCCCAGATGGTTGCCCACGGAGAGAAGCAAATCAGAAAGAGAGATAAGCTGAAAAAAAAAAAAACCTGCACGCATGCAAAAAGAAAATTTTTTTTCCAGCGTTGTGTTACAAGGCGGAAGCGAGGAGGTGAGAAAGAAAGAGGTTCTCGCCTTACTACGAACACATCGTGGAAGTTCGTTGTAAATGGTTCTTGCTATATCAAACTACTTGGTATATCGAACTGATCGTAGCGTTTCCTTCTGTTAGTTATAAGCGGGTTTGACTGTACTCGTAAATTTGGAAAATTAATTGTTCCGTATGCGTTTCTTTGCTTAAGCTAAAAGTCTAATCTTCGGTTTGATTTTCAAGAAATATTCAAATTGTTTAAGATAATTTAAATGCATCACTACGAAAGCAAGAAATAAACTTTACAAGCAAGATCTTCATAACTTATTAATATCCAATAGTCGTAAATTTTGGAAAATCAATTGTTCCAGGAGAGATGCCTCCCTTCCTAAACTATTCACTGAGCTTAACCAAGTGCTAACTAACCTAGAATCAGCCAACGTCTTTAACAACCACTTTTTATTAGTATTTGCATTAGAACAATTAATATTACCCTGTGATCAGATATGTAGAGTGTGTAATATCCAGTATGAACTCATCTTCTACCTCAGCGGTTTCTTGAATTAATAAAAAAAACTCTCCTCAAGCTCAGCGTTGGTGACGACAGTATCTGTCCAAAACTTCACAAATTAACAAAGCACATATCCTCCCAAATTTTCATTTTTTATTTCTACACTCTCTTGTCTTAGCCACCTTACCCATGGACTGGAGATTTGGGAGAGTGTTACGCATTTTTAAATCCGGAAACAAAAATGGCTATTCAAATTACCAACCCATATCAATAATTAGAGTGCTTTGCTAACTAATAGAACATATCATCTACTCTCATAATATAAATGATCTGTCAGAAAATAATTTCATATGTAATGATTAGCATAGTGTCACGGGGTGTAGTTACTCTTGTGAGACCCCGCTTTCCGTATTTGTTACTGACCTGCATCACAAATTCCGGTCATGTAAACCTACTGATGATATTTTATTGATTTCTAAGAGGCCTTCGACTCTGTTCCTCACCAACGACTTTTGTATCAGCTCTCTGAGCTAAACACTCATCCTTGTATTAAACTCTGGATAGCTAAAGTTTAACTAACCGGACTCGGGCGGTTAGTATGAGCATAGCAAGGAAATGAAACAGCTGAAGAAACGGGTCGAAAGGCTGGAAATAACTGACGCCGAGATGGAAATAAAGACACTAAAGAAACAGGTGAACGACCTTGAATGGAGAGGCCGGAAACAACCTAGAATTCCACGGCATCCCGAAACTGACAACGAAGACCTGCTAGGGAAGGTAAATAAAATTGCAAAAGAACTTGAAGTACCGGACCTCACAATGAACGAAGTTGCGGCAGTTCATAGGCTGCCGTGCAAATCAGATAAAACGCCAGGTATCATCGTTTGGTTCACCAGACAACGAAAGATGATTGGCTAAACAAACCGTCGGCACTCAAAAACGCAAAAGATGACGCTTAAATCTTGGAAAATCTAACCAGTCAGGGCAGAGCGCTTTTTTGGGAGGCAAAAAAATGGTCCAAGGAAACAAACTATAAGCACGTTTGGTATAGAAATGGAAACGTTCTCGTGCGCAAAATGGACAGAGATTAGGTGCATGTGATTAGATCTCTGTATGATCTGCAGAAACTTGCGTGATGTCCTTTGTTGTTGTTTTTATTGTTCACGTTAAGAACTGTTCTTCACAATCAATGATACGGCATATTTGTCGTCGAAAACTAAAAATTATGCACTGAATTCGTCGTCAGACATCGATTCTTCCATCGGATCTACAGTCTTTCACGGGAAACGAGTACCACGGTTATCTCAAATGTTTTGACTTAAATACTCGATCGGCACAAAATAAAGCAAACGAACTTGGCTTTTTTTCCATTAATTCTGGGTTGGCTTTGATATCATAAGG